TGTTCTGTGTTAGGTTTGATAATTGACTATTTCCCCCTGTTCTGTGTTAGGTTTGATAATTGAATATTTCCCCTGTTCTGTGTTAGGTTTGATAATTGACTATTTTCCCCTGTTCTGTGTTAGGTTTGATAATTGACTATTTTCCCCTGTTCTGTGTTAGGTTTGATAATTGACTATTTCCCCCTGTTCTGTGTTAGGTTTGATAATTGAATATTTCCCCTGTTCTGTGTTAGGTTTGATAATTGACTATTTTCCCCCGTTGGGTGTTAGGTTTGATAATTGACTATTTTCCCCCTGTTCTGTGTTAGGTTTGATAATTGACTATTTCCCCCCTGACATGTGTAAGGTTTGATAATTGACTATTTTCCCCTGTTCTGTGTTAGGTTTGATAATTGACTATTTTCCCTCTGTTCTGTGTTAGGTTTGATAATTGACTATTTTCCCCTGTTCTGTGTTAGGTTTGATAATTGACTATTTTCCCCTGTTCTGTGTTAGGTTTGATAATTGACTATTTCCCCCTGTTCTGTGTTAGGTTTGATAATTGACTATTTTCCCCCGTTGGGTGTTAGGTTTGATAATTGACTATTTTCCCCTGTTCTGTGTTAGGTTTGATAATTGACTATTTTCCCCCGTTGGGTGTTAGGTTTGATAATTGACTATTTTCCCCTGTTCTGTGTTAGGTTTGATAATTGACTATTTTCCCCCGTTGGGTGTTAGGTTTGATAATTGACTATTTTCCCCCGTTGGGTGTTAGGTTTGATAATTGACTATTTTCCCCCGTTGGGTGTTAGGTTTGATAATTGACTATTTCCCCCTGTTCTGTGTTAGGTTTGATAATTGACTATTTTCCCCCGTTGGGTGTTAGGTTTGATAATTGACTATTTTCCCCTGTTCTGTGTTAGGTTTGATAATTGACTATTTTCCCCCGTTCTGTGTTAGGTTTGATAATTGACTATTTTCCCCCTGTTCTGTGTTAGGTTTGATAATTGACTATTTTCCCCTGTTCTGTGTTAGGTTTGATAATTGACTATTTTCCCTCTGTTCTGTGTTAGGTTTGATAATTGACTATTTTCCCCTGTTCTGTGTTAGGTTTGATAATTGAATATTTCCCCTGTTCTGTGTTAGGTTTGATAATTGACTATTTTCCCCCGTTGGGTGTTAGGTTTGATAATTGACTATTTCCCCCTGTTCTGTGTTAGGTTTGATAATTGACTATTTCCCCTGTTCTGTGTTAGGTTTGATAATTGACTATTTTCCCCTGTTCTGTGTTAGGTTTGATAATTGACTATTTTCCCCCGTTGGGTGTTAGGTTTGATAATTGACTATTTTCCCCTGTTCTGTGTTAGGTTTGATAATTGACTATTTTCCCCCTGTTCTGTGTTAGGTTTGATAATTGACTATTTTCCCCCTGTTCTGTGTTAGGTTTGATAATTGACTATTTTCCCTCTGTTCTGTGTTAGGTTTGATAATTGACTATTTTCCCCCGTTGGGTGTTAGGTTTGATAATTGAATATTTCCCCTGTTCTGTGTTAGGTTTGATAATTGACTATTTTCCCCCGTTCTGTGTTAGGTTTGATAATTGACTATTTTCCCTGTTCTGTGTTAGGTTTGATAATTGACTATTTTCCCCTGTTCTGTGTTAGGTTTGATAATTGACTATTTTCCCCTGTTCTGTGTAAGGTTTGATAATGGACTATTTTCCCCCTGTTCTGTGTTAGGTTTGATAATTGACTATTTTCCCCCGTTCTGTGTTAGGTTTGATAATTGACTATTTTCCCCCTGTTCTGTGTTAGGTTTGATAATTGACTATTTTCCCCTGTTCTGTGTAAGGTTTGATAATGGACTATTTTCCCCCTGTTCTGTGTTAGGTTTGATAATTGACTATTTTCTCCTGTTCTGTGTTAGGTTTGATAATTGACTATTTTCCCCTGTTCTGTGTTAGGTTTGATAATTGACTATTTTCCCCCGTTGGGTGTTAGGTTTGATAATTGACTATTTCCCCCGTTGGGTGTTAGGTTTGATAATTGACTATTTTCCCCCGTTGGGTGTTAGGTTTGATAATTGACTATTTCCCCCTGTTCTGTGTTAGGTTTGATAATTGACTATTTTCCCCCGTTGGGTGTTAGGTTTGATAATTGACTATTTCCCCCTGTTCTGTGTAAGGTTTGATAATTGACTATTTTCCCCTGTTCTGTGTTAGGTTTGATAATTGACTATTTTCCCCCGTTGGGTGTTAGGTTTGATAATTGACTATTTTCCCCCGTTGGGTGTTAGGTTTGATAATTGACTATTTTCCCCTGTTCTGTGTTAGGTTTGATAATTGACTATTTCCCCCTGTTCTGTGTTAGGTTTGATAATTGACTATTTTCCCCGTTGGGTGTTAGGTTTGATAATTGACTATTTTCCCCCGTTGGGTGTTAGGTTTGATAATTGACTATTTCCCCTGTTCTGTGTTAGGTTTGATAATTGACTATTTCCCCCTGTTCTGTGTTAGGTTTGATAATTGACTATTTTCCCCCGTTGGGTGTTAGGTTTGATAATTGACTATTTTCCCCCGTTGGGTGTTAGGTTTGATAATTGACTATTTTCCCCCGTTGGGTGTTAGGTTTGATAATTGACTATTTCCCCCGTTCTGTGTTAGGTTTGATAATTGACTATTTTCCCCTGTTCTGTGTTAGGTTTGATAATTGACTATTTTCCCCTGTTCTGTGTTAGGTTTGATAATTGACTATTTTCCTCCGTTCTGTGTTAGGTTTGATAATGGACTATTTCCCCCCGTTCTGTGTTAGGTTTGATAATGGACTATTTTTCCCCTGTTCTGTGTTAGGTTTGATAATGGACTATTTTCCCTGTTCTGTGTTAGGTTTGATAATGGACTATTTTCCCCTGTTCTGTGTTAGGTTTGATAATTGACTATTTTTCCCCTGTTCTGTGTTAGGTTTGATAATTGACTATGTGTTGATTACTGATCTACGCGGATCTACATATCATCATATAACTATTTTTTACTGTTTTTATGACTAGTGGACTATACCATGGGAAAAGTATAAAGACATGGACTGGAAAAGAACCTTATGTCTCTAACAATTCGGTAACGGTGTCCAGGAACAGGCATCAACAAGTACATGATCACGGCTCTCAGATCTTGTCTTAGAGACTCTGATAGTCAGGTAAGTTTCTTGAAATCCTCAACGGTTTTTGATCTTCTTTTATCCACTTTATTGATGAAAGTCATCAAAAAATTTTCAGATAGTTAGCTATAATATATCAATATTATTCAGTAATCTTTCTATTGCACTAGATGTTCCTGGCAATGTCGACTTTATATGTTTCTGGTTATGTCGAATCTATACGTTTCTGGTTATGTCGAATTTATATGTTCCTGGTTATGTCGACTCTATACGTTTCTGGTTATATCGACTTTATATGTTCCTGATTATGTCGGCTTTATATGTTCCTTGCTATGTATACTTTAATGTTCCTGGTTATGTCGACTTTATATGTTCCTTGCTATGTCGACTTTATATGTTTCTGGTTATGTCGACTTTATATGTTCCTGGTTATGTCGACTTTATATGTTCCTTGCTATGTATACTTTAATGTTCCTGGTTATGTCGACTTTATATGTTCCTTGCTATGTATACTTTAATGTTCCTGGTTATGTCGACTTTATATGTTCCTTGCTATGTCGACTTTATATGTTCCTGGCTATGTCGACTTTATATGTTCCTGGTTATGTCGACTTTATATGTTCCTGGTTATGTCGACTTTATATGTTCCTGGCTATGTCGACTTTATATGTTCCTGGTTATGTCGACTTTATATGTTCCTGGCTATGTCGACTTTATATGTTCCTGGCTATGTCGACTTTATATGTTCCTGGCTATGTCGACTTTATATGTTCCTGGTTATGTCGACTTTATATGTTCCTGGCTATGTCGACTTTATATGTTCCTGGTTATGTCGACTTTATATGTTCCTGGCTATGTCGACTTTGTGTAAGCATTCAATTTTCGCGAACTTAGACTATCAAATTATATCGAGGACAGAATTTCGAAAGGGCAGAAATTGATTAGAAATATATACGATTAAAGCATCTTAGGGTAGTTTAGTGACACAATGTAATAAAATAGCTAATTCATTTAGATTTACAATCGTAAAATTTGTCTTGAGGAGGCAAATCGCCTGCTGTGAAATTAAATATGATATCATGTATATAGTAGATGTTAAAAGCCATTGATGTTTTATGTACCCGATCACTGCATTCCAGAGTTACATGTAAACAACTTCATATAGCCAGCTGTGTAAAAATAGACATGTGAAAATTTCGAGGAAAGGAACGCATAGTTTAACTTGATTTAATTTTCCCAACAAGGATGATAGTATTAATTAAAAAGCGTGGCAGAGCACACTGATATCGGTGTGAAATCGGGGACCAAATGCACCAGAGTGTTAATTTCATGTTAGCTGTGTCGGCTGGCAATTTTACAGGTTATTTAAAGATTTACTTGGCCATGGAAGTAAATGAAGTTTTTATAGCACTAAAATAAACATTATGGATTTTTCTCACCGCCTATCTACCTAAGGAAACGCTTGGCGCGGTATATCATTGGATTATCGGTCACTGTCATTGTCTGTGCCATTCTCGGTTGTACTGGACCGATCGGTACAGCAGGACAAAAGTAAACCATTGGAGTTACAACATCAGATAAATTTCGCTCACTGATCACACACTCGTGTGTTTTGTAGTAAAGGTGTTTCCATATCGTTAAACTCGTCAACCGTGCAGTCCTATAGACTGTGTATCTATACAGGTAACCTCTGACGGGCGGAGGTCTTAAACTCGGCTTAGTGCTCATATCATTTGGAATTTTTAATTCAAAAGCAGGCAGAAGATGTGTTTAAAGCTATGACGTGTAAACTGACCGATCAGTGAGTCAACCATTGTTTTTACATTGATCTTTGATTATTGAATTTGAAAATTTGATTTTGGAAGAAACATGTCATTGATGAACGGGACCCATGGTCCACTCATCCCTACGAACAATGTCCAGTGGATGCAGATCCAGAAGGATACGTTTACTAACTGGGTAAATGAACAGCTTAAGTCTAAAGGTTCTGAAGTTCGAGATCTCAGGACCGATTTCGCGGATGGTGTTAAACTTGTAACCCTAATAGAGGCTCTTAAGAGACAGAAACTTCCAGGCACCGTCTCAAAGCCGACTAATCAGTACGAGAAACTACAAAATATCACTGTAGCCCTGGATGGCATCGCCGCTGATAACGTGCGCATCATCAACATAGGTAAGTGTCAGTCGAGTGTTAATAGGGCTTTTCACCCAAAGGTGAGAAGAGCTATTGTTTTTGTTATTATACACTTGTTCTCATAACATATGAATAATACCACTAGTACTGTGTTCACATCTAAGTTATCTTGTCCTCGCTCACAATTACAATTTTAAATCTTAAGTAAACAATGTGTGTCTCTTAACTGTTCACTGATGGATTACATCTAAGCCCTTTAAAGCTTGCTCACAGCTAAATCATGTCTTGAACGTTTGCAAGCTTTCCAGAGACAAATTACGTTGTGAGCCTTCAGATTTGTTCACAGATAAAGTATGACTTCAGCCTATTTACTCACAGATAAAAAGATCACGTACCTTCACAGTTTGTGTCCAGGTCGCATATAATGTGACCCTTCGCATCTTATTTACATGTTGTATGTTCCTTAATGTAAGGGATGCTGTGTAGGCGTCATACGAACCAGTTGTTCACATCATATTGATATCGTTCCCAAACAACTGGTTCAACTTTTTCACGATTACTATACAGTTTGACTACCTTCAACGTTATCACAAACAGCCTTCGATACCATTAAATATTATAATTAATCACAGAAAATTGCACACATTTTTCATATTTCCCTGTATTTCGTTTAATTAAACATCTGCTTTCATTGTTTACATGATTCCGAAGAGTCTTCACAAGCTATGTTTTACTCCCTGGAGGGGTTAGATAGAGATCAATATATGAAGATAATCTTACAACAAAAGTCTGCTTTTCTTTAAGTGTTTTGAGAATCAAATATTTCTCTCATTTATACCTTAAGTTAGGTGGTAAATCATAGGTGCTTGGTGTTAACTCATCTGTAAAATATATGCGCCACGCCTGACTGATAATGTATGCAGATTACTTGTAATATACACATCATGTTTTGTAAGTGATATGCGTTTGCGTGGAAGTGATTACATCATACATTCATATTTTAATTACAGACACATATAAATCATAAACATAATATATGATATTTATATCATCCAAACTCCAAGTACTTTTTATAAAAGTTGAATTAATTAAAGTTTATACTTCAATGATTTAAATTGTACACGAACCGGATCCCAGCCACTTTGTACACACATGGAAGTGTTGTATATGAAGACTAGAACTAAACAACAACTGGTGCAATATGATAACAGTAAGACGAGTATTCTGTACAGTCAATAAATTAAAAAAACACGACACAGGTATTTAGTGCCTATCATTGTGTTTGTGTCCATATAACAGGACTAGAAACTATAAAACTGATGTTTGTGTACATTTTTTTGTATATGAAAAACAGTTCTGGTGTCCTGTCTATCGCGTACTAGAAATCATAAGACATATACATGTATATATAACGTTTTAAATACGAGAAATCAAAAGATGAGTGTTTGTGTCCGGTCAATTGAATACAAGAAATCAAAAGACAGGTGTTTTGTGCCCGGTCAATTGAATACAAGAAATCAAAAGACACAAGAAATCAAAAGACAGGTGTTTTGTGCCCGGTCAATTGAATACAAGAAATGAAAAGACAGGTGCTTTGTGCCCGGTCAATTGAATACAAGAAATGAAAAGACAAGTGTTTTGTGCCCGGTCAATTGAATACAAGAAATCAAAAGACACAAGAAATCAAAAGACAGGTGCTTTGTGCCCGGTTAATTGAATACAAGAAATGAAAAGACAGGTGTTTTGTGCCCGGTCAATTGAATACAAGAAATGAAAAGACAGGTGTTTTGTGCCCGGTCAATTGAATACAAGAAATCAAAAGACAGGTGTTTTGTCCTTTGTGTTTGTGTCCAGTCAGTTGAATACAAGAAGTTACAAGTTAGTTTTTTTTTTTTCATAAATATCAAATATAACTCAACTGACTGGATCATGCAGACTTCAGTTATCACCCCGGAGACTCGGGTTCCAAGAAAGTATTTATCTGTATCCCTACAAAAAGATACTGTAAACTAAGTTGACTGATTTGCTTTATTTTTGTTTTATATAAATAGGTCTGATTAATTTGGATACGGTAAGCATATCTGTTTTTCCGTATTTATTCACATATATAAACCATGTGAATACGTGTGTATTCCGCTGTTTAAGTAAAGTGTTAAGACGATAATAAGGTGTTATTGTGTCACCCTACTGTCCCTTGCGGCCACACTACCTGTTTGATTTTCAGATGTAGCACTTGTCATATATAACCTACAAGTCACGCTTGCTTAGATTTCACAATCTTAATGATCAATCAATGATAGTTAACAGTGTACTGTCGGGTTTGTCCTTGGATTACTTGTCTTCATGTGTTCTAGAACAGTGGTGTAATGTCGGCCAGGACTGTCGGAATTTCCTTAGTACTTTTCTTTTAAAAAATGTTAACTAACTTAGGGCTGAATGTATTATTGTAGTATGTTAATCGGGAGATGGGAGATGGAAGACGGAGTGGTATTGTGTTAACTAAGGCTTACAGAGGTTTGGATGGTGTTATAAATGACTGAGGGAGGCTTGGGTGGTGTTGACCATAACTGAGGGAGGCTTCAATGGTGTTGAAAATGACTGAGGGAGGCTTGGGTGGTGTTGACTATGTCTTAAGGGGCTTTGATGATGTTAACCATGTCTGGAGGGGGTTTGGATAGTGTTAGAAATGACTGAGGGAGGCTTGAGTGGTGTTAGAAATGACTGAGGGAGGCTTGGGTGGTGTTGGAAATGACTGAGGGAGGCTTGGGTGGTGTTGACCATGTCTTAAGGGGCTTGGATGGTGTTGGAAATGACTGAGGGAGGCTTGGGTGGTGTTGACCATAACTGAGGGAGGCTTCGATGGTGTTGGAAATGACTGAGGGAGGTTTGGATGGTGTTAACCATAACTGAAGGAGGCTTGGATGGTGTTAACCGTAACTGAAGGAGGTTTGGATGGTATTAACCATATGAGAGGGAAGCTTGGTTGTTAACCATGGCGGAAGGGGGCTTGGATGGTGTTAACCATTCTGAAGGGGGTTTGGATGGTGTTAACCATGTCTGAAGGGGTTATGGATGGTGTTAACCATGTCTGAAGGGGTTATGGATGGTGTTAACCATGTCTGAAGGGGGTTTGGATGGTGTTAACCATTCTGAAGGGGGTTTGGATGGTGTTAACCATGTCTGAAGGGGTTATGGATGGTGTTCACTATATGAGAGGGAAGCTTGATGGTGCAAACAATGGCTAACGGAGGCTTTGATGGTGTTGACCGTGGTAGGTGGAATTTTAATTTTAATCAAAAGTGTGAAAAGCTGGGATGGTATTGTATTATCCAACGTTGAAAGAAGGTGATATCGACGCTGATAGAATGTATGCATTGGATTTAGACATACATGGATTTATAACGAGTGAGATTAAAAAGCATTTGTTTTTTTATTTATAAAAGAAAAAAAAATTATTCGTCTTTTTCACTCTTACTGTGGGTGGGGTTTTCGGGATTTGAACGTGTTTTTGTTTTTATTTGTGATGATTCACTCACTGCCAAGACATCGCTGTCTGGATTGTTGTAGGTAACAAGGACCGCTATGTTAACAAGACAACACGCGTACAAGGTAATTTCTTGAATGGGTAGAACAGAATCACAGTTGTGTATCTCAGCATGTAGAAGTTTAATCCCGTTCCTATTCTTATATCACACAATAGATACATAAATAGAGCTGAGACCCATCTTAGTGTAGATACAATACGTAGAGAATCCATACTACTATGTAGTCAGTCAGTATGTACTTTATTGTAGATATCTCGTCAGTGTGTACTTTATTGTAGATATCTCGTCAGTGTATACTTTATTGTAGATATCTCGTCAGTATGTACTTTATTGTAGATATCACGTCAGTATGTACTTTATTGTAGATATCTCGTCAGTATGTACTTTATTGTAGATATCACGTCAGTATGTACTTTATTGTAGATATCTTGTCAGTATGTACTTTATTGTAGATATCTCGTCAGTATGTACTTTATTGTAGATATCACGTCAGTATGTACTTTATTGTAGATATCACGTCAGTATGTACTTTATTGTAGATATCTCGTCAGTGTGTACTTTATTGTAGATATCTCGTCAGTGTATACTTTATTGTAGATATCTCGTCAGTATGTACTTTATTGTAGATATCTCGTAAGAATGTACTTTATTGTAGATATCTCGTAAGAATGTACTTTATTGTAGATATATCGTCAGTATGTACTTTATTGTAGATATCTCGTCAGTGTGTACTTTATTGTAGATATCTCGCCAGTATGTACTTTATTGTAGATATCTCGTCAGTATGTACTTTATTGTAGATATCTCTTCCGTATGTACTTTATTGTAGATATCTCGTCAGTATATACTTTATTGTAGATATCTCGTCAGTATGTACTTTATTGTAGATATCTCGTAAGAATGTACTTTATTGTAGATATCTCGTCAGTATGTACTTTATTGTAGATATATCGTCAGTATGTACTTTATTGTAGATATCTCGTCAGTGTGTACTTTATTGTAGATATCTCGCCAGTATGTACTTTATTGTAGATATCTCGTCAGTATGTACTTTATTGTAGATATCTCTTCCGTATGTACTTTATTGTAGATATCTCGTCAGTATATACTTTATTGTATGATGTAGCATCACTTACGAGTCCTAGAAGGACAAAACAACTGTATGATGTAGCATCACTGACGAGTCCTAGAAGGACAAAACAACTGTATGATGTAGCATCACTGACGAGTCCTAGAAGGACAAAACAACTGTATGATGTAGCATCACTGACGAATCTAAGAGGACAAAACAGCTGTATGATGTAGCATCACTGATGAGTCCTTGGAAGACAAAACAGTTGTATGATGTAGCATTACTGACGAGTCCTAGGAGGACAAAACAACTGTATGATGTAGCATCACTGACGAATCTAGGAGGGCAAAACAGCTGTATGATGTAGCATCACTGACGAGTCCTAGGAGGACAAAACAGTTGTATGATGTAGCATCACTGACGAGTCCTAGGAGGACAAAACAGTTGTATGATGTAGCATCACTGACGAATCTAAGAGGACAAAACAGCTGTATGATGTAGCATCACTGATGAGTCCTTGGAAGACAAAACAGTTGTATGATGTAGCATTACTGACGAGTCCTAGGAGGACAAAACAACTGTATGATGTAGCATCACTGACGAATCTAGGAGGGCAAAACAGCTGTATGATGTAGCATCACTGACGAGTCCTAAGAGGACAAAACAGCTGTATGATGTAGCATCACTGATGAGTCCTTGGAAGACAAAACAGTTGTATGATGTAGCATTACTGACGAGTCCTAGGAGGACAAAACAACTGTATGATGTAGCATCACTGACGAATCTAAGAGGACAAAACAGCTGTATGATGTAGCATCACTGATGAGTCCTTGGAAGACAAAACAGTTGTATGATGTAGCATTACTGACGAGTCCTAGGAGGACAAAACAACTGTATGATGTAGCATCACTGACGAATCTAGGAGGGCAAAACAGCTGTATGATGTAGCATCACTGACGAGTCCTAGGAGGACAAAACAGTTGTATGATGTAGCATCACTGACGAGTCCTAGGAGGACAAAACAGTTGTATGGTGTAGCATCACTGACGAGTCCTAGGAGGACAAAACAGCTGTATGATGTAGCATCACTGACGAGTCCTAGAAGGACTAAACAGCTGTATGATGTAGCATCACTGACGAGTCCTAGAAGGACAAAACAACTGTATGATGTAGCATCACTGACGAGTCCTAGAAGGACAAAACAGTTGTATGATGTAGCATCACTGACGAGTCCTAAAAGGACTAAACAACTCTATGAGGACAAAACAGCTGTATGATGTAGCATCACTGACGAGTCCTAGAAGGACTAAACAGCTGTATGATGTAGCATCACTGACGAGTCCTAGAAGGACAAAACAACTGTATGATGTAGTATCACTGACGAGTCCTAGGAGGACAAAACAGCTGTATGATGTAGCATCACTGACGGGTTCTAGGAGGACAAAACAGCTGTATGATGTAGCATCACTGACGAGTCTTAGAAGGACAAAACAACTGTATGATGTAGCATCACCGACGAGTCCTAGAAGGACAAAACAACTGTATGATGTAGCATCACTGACGAGTCCTAGGAGGACAAAACAGTTGTATGATGTAGCATCACTGACGAGTCCTAGGAGGACAAAACAGCTGTATGATGTAGCATCACTGACGAGTCCTAGAAGGACTAAACAGCTGTATGATGTAGCATCACTGACGAGTCCTAGGAGGACTAAACAGTTGTATGATTTATCATCACTGACGAGTCCTAGAAGGACTAAACGGTTGTATGATGTAGCATCACTGACGAGTCCTAGAAGGACTAAACAGCTGTTTGATACAGTTCAATTCATTGTTTTACGCTACTCTACCGAACCCTAGATTGTCAGAAGATATTATTTACTTAATTGTTTTTATACATTTATCAATAACCAGTACTGTTATTCTCGTTATCACGTCAGTACATGTACATTGTATGTATAACTTTCGTTTCTTTAAGTAGCCTTGTTAACATGTAGTGGTTTGTTGTAGATAGATCAACACCTACATATACCATCAACGACAGTGCAATATAGCACAAACCCGGCGTAAATACACTCACGTATCACAAACTCTATTAAAATCTGTTTTCATAAATAGTAAGGCGATTTTTGTGGTTACACATACTTGTTAAATGACATATTTTCTTTATTATTCTGTGACATGTTTTGCTTGTAGAAGGAGATTCTAGAGGGAAACTCAAACTTATCACATGACGTGTTTTGTGTATTATAATGTGATGTATTTTGTGTATTATAATGTGATGTGTTTTGTTTATTATAATGTGATGTGTTTTGTTTATTATAATGTGATGTGTTTTGTGTATTATAATGTGATGTGTTTTGTTTATTATAATGTGATGTGTTTTGTGTATTATAATGTGACGTGTTTTGTGTATTATAATGTGATGTGTTTTGTTTATTATAATGTGATGTGTTTTGTGTATTATAATGTGACGTGTTTTGTGTATTATAATGTGATGTGTTTTGTGTATTATAATGTGACGTGTTTTGTGTATTATAATGTGATGTGTTTTGTGTATTATAATGTGATGTGTTTTGTTTATTATAATGTGATGTGTTTTGTGTATTATAATGTGATGTGTTTTGTTTATTATAATGTGATGTGTTTTGTTTATTATAATGTGATGTGTTTTGTGTATTATAATGTGATGTGTTTTGTTTATTATAATGTGATGTGTTTTGTTTATTATAATGTGATGTGTTTTGTGTATTATAATGTGACGTGTTTTGTGTATTATAATGTGATGTGTTTTGTGTATTATAATGTGATGTGTTTTGTTTATTATAATGTGATGTGTTTTGTGTATTATAATGTGATGTGTTTTGTTTATTATAATGTGATGTGTTTTGTTTATTATAATGTGATGTGTTTTGTTTATTATAATGTGATGTGTTTTGTGTATTATAATGTGATGTGTTTTGTGTATTATAATGTGACGTGTTTTGTGTATTATAATGTGATGTGTTTTGTGTATTATAATGTGATGTGTTTTGCTTGTAGAAGGAGATTCTAGAGGGTAACTCAAACTTATCACATGACGTGTTTTGTGTATTATAATGTGATGTGTTTTGCTTGTAGAAGGAGATTCTAGAGGGAAACTCAAACTTATCACATGACGTGTTTTGTGTATTATAATGTGATGTGTTTTGTGTATTATAATGTGATGTGTTTTGTGTATTATAATGTGACGTGTTTTGTGTATTATAATGTGATGTGTTTTGTGTATTATAATGTGATGTGTTTTGTTTATTATAATGTGATGTGTTTTGTGTATTATAATGTGACGTGTTTTGTGTATTATAATGTGATGTGTTTTGTGTATTATAATGTGATGTGTTTTGTTTACTATAATGTGATGTGTTTTGTGTATTATAATGTGATGTGTTTTGTTTATTATAATGTGACGTGTTTTGTGTATTATAATGTGATGTGTTTTGTTTATTATAATGTGATGTGTTTTGTGTATTATAATGTGACGTGTTTTGTGTATTATAATGTGATGTGTTTTGTGTATTATAATGTGATGTGTTTTGTTTATTATAATGTGATGTGTTTTGTGTATTATAATGTGACGTGTTTTGTGTATTATAATGTGATGTGTTTTGTGTATTATAATGTGATGTGTTTTGTTTATTATAATGTGATGTGTTTTGTGTATTATAATGTGATGTGTTTTGTTTATTATAATGTGACGTGTTTTGTGTATTATAATGTGATGTGTTTTGTGTATTATAATGTGATGTGTTTTGTGTATTATAATGTGATGTGTTTTGTGTATTATAATGTGATGTGATTTGTTTATTATTCTGTAATGCGTTTTGTTTGTAGATAGTAAGGAGATTCTAGAGGGTAACACCAAGCTTATTCTTGCTCTGATATGGCAGCTTGTTAGTCGGTATCAAATCGGCTTGTCCAACATTCAGCACCGGAACTGGATGTTGGCATGGTTACAAGCAGTTCTTCCGGAATGTAATATTACAAATTTTACTTCCGACTGGATGGATGGAAGCGCCCTCTTGTGAGTTGCATGCCTTGGATGTCGTCTTCCCTAATGCACTGCATATAATCTTTCTGGCACAAATGACCCTAAGAAGTTCATTTGTTTTCTTTGCGTAATTTAGAAATCATTGTCAGTTCACTTCAATAAATCACAAGAAATCAGTGTAATTACGCAACGATTCTTTGGTCAGATGTCCTCACATGTGTAACGAAAATATTTTGTCTGTGAAAAATATAAGTTGACTGTGTAATTCCTTGCTAGATAAACTAACCATTTTTTCAATAATTTTGTGTGTATGTAAATGAAGTGTTGTTTGCTTATACCCTTTTTTGGCGTAGACTGGTATAATATGTCACCATATAAAGATTGCCTTTCTTCTGTTTTAGTGCCCTTTTGGACTTCTGCGTACCTGGATTATATCCCACATGGAGATCATGTGACAAGTCGGACAGGTAAGACCCGGATGTGAGCAATGGGAGACGGGAGACTGAAATTATAAATAATGCAGTGTAAAAAATATAGCCGATTTTACGTGGAAGTAGTAATATACATATGATTTTAATGGCTTCTCGTTTCGTTTTTCTCGGAGTGTGAATTACATTAGTTATATATGTTTCCCGTGAATCAAAGGATATTAAATCTTACTAAAGTTTCTCGTAAGAAATATGGGCTAGGTTTTGAATTCTCGTGGTTTATATTGCGTAGGTTGAGATAAGAATGTGTGACTCTAAGAAGGTTTATTTAATTCTGATAACGAGGGAGGCAGTGAAGGTAGCATGTACAGCGAGCAAGCACTGGCCAACACATCAATCATAACTGATATCTCACCCCGAACATCCACTAAAACCAGCATCTCTTAAATGGCATTATGGGTATACAAATTCATCATAAATCTGACCACTGTGTCCACTATTATTGTAAAACTGACCGCTATGACAATGACGGTGTTGATAGATAATTACACAGTGAGGAGTGGGAGGAACAGCGACTTTAAAACTTGACATGAAATTGACACCACTGCCCATCAGGAATCTGTCCTCGCGAAATTCTTTTCAGAAAATAAACCGGGATGCCATTTGGACGACACCGTAGCGATAAAGAAATATTCGCGCTGTTCGTTCAAGCATGTAATGGTAGTATTTGTGTGATTAACCGGACTGGAAACCCCGCCCCGGGAATGTTGGTAGTGTTTATGTAAGGAATTTCACCCAACCGAAACCGACCCAGTAATTTCTTCGGTACCACGCATTAGTAGTAGAACAACGTGTCACATATAGAGTAGATAACACTGCGGTTAAACATTGCTCAATCTCTATCATATTTGAATATTTGATAACAGAACGGTAGAATAGCTGCAGCGTACACTGTAATGTACAGGTGTTACTATATCAAGGATTATAAAACACAATTATTGTAGAACATTTACCGCACAACAAAAAATAACAGAATTTTGAGTACACAGTTGAAGAAAGGAAACCAGAGCTTGGTTATAGCATCAATATCATAAAACACAACGTTAAAAGTGAGAGCTTAAAACCGGAATGTAATTTGTCATGGTCACACGCAAACGTTTTTTCCGTTGTTTGTTACCTGTGTAATGGAGATATTATCATTTACTCATGATGTAAGAAAACAGGAACATTTGTATATAGTTTTATCATTAAGTCGTGATCTGTATATTACCGGGACATTTGTATATAGTTTTATCATTAAGTCGTGATCTGTATATTACCGGGACATTTGTATATAGTTTTATCATTAAGTCGTGCTCTGTATATTACCGGGACATTTGTATATAGTTTTATCATTAAGTCGTGATCTGTATATTACCGGGACATTTGTATATAGTTTTATCATTAAGTCGTGATTTGTATATTACCGGGACATTTGTATATAGTTTTATCATTAAGTCGTGATCTGTATATTACCGGGACATTTGTATATAGTTTTATCATTAAGTCGTGCTCTGTATATTACCGGGACATTTGTATATAGTTTTATCATTAAGTCGTGCTCTGTATATTACCGGGACATTTGTATATAGTTTTATCATTAAGTCGTGCTCTGTATATTACCGGGACATTTGTATATAGTTTTATCATTAACTCGTGATCTGTATATTACCGGGACATTTGTATATAGTTTTATCATTAACTCGTGATCTGTATATTACCGGGACATTTGTATATAGTTTTATCATTAAGTCGTGCTCTGTATATTACCGGGACATTTGTATATAGTTTTATCATTAACTCGTGATCTGTATATTACCGGGACATTTGTATATAGTTATATCATTAAGTCGTGCTCTGTATATTACCGGGACATTTGTATATAGTTTTATCATTAACTCGTGATCTGTATATTACCGGGACATTTGTATATAGTTTTATCAGTAAGTCGTGCTCTGTATATTACCGGGACATTTGTATATAGTTTTATCATTAACTCGTGATCTGTATATTACCGGGACATTTGTATATAGTTTTATCAGTAAGTCGTGCTCTGTATATTACCGGGACATTTGTATATAGTTTTATCATTAAGTCGTGCTCTGTATATTACCGGGACATTTGTATATAGTTTTATCAGTAAGTCGTGCTCTGTATATTACCGGGACATTTGTATATAGTTTTATCATTAAGTCGTGCTCTGTATATTACCGGGACATTTGTATATAGTTTTATCAGTAAGTCGTGCTCTGTATATTACCGGGACATTTGTATATAGTTTTATCATTAAGTCGTGATCTGTATATTACCGGGACATTTGTATATAGTTTTATCATTAACTCGTGATCTGTATATCACCGGGACATTTGTATATAGTTTTATCATTAAGTCGTGATCTGTATATTACCGGGACATTTGTATATAGTTTTATCATTAAGTCGTGCTCTGTATATTACCGGGACATTTGTATATAGTTTTATCATTAAGTCGTGCTCTGTATATTACCGGGACATTTGTATATAGTTTTATCATTAAGTCGTGATCTGTATATTACCGGGACATTTGTATATAGTTATATCATTAAGTCGTGCTCTGTATATTACCGGGACATTTGTATATAGTTTTATCATTAACTCGTGCTCTGTATATTACCGGGACATTTGTATATAGTTTTATCAGTAAGTCGTGCTCTGTATATTACCGGGACATTTGTATATAGTTTTATCATTAAGTCGTGCTCTGTATATTACCGGGACATTTGTATATAGTTTTATCAGTAAGTCGTGCTCTGTATATTACCGGGACATTTGTATATAGTTTTATCATTAAGTCGTGCTCTGTATATTACCGGGACATTTGTATATAGTTTTATCAGTAAGTCGTGCTCTGTATATTACCGGGACATTTGTATATAGTTTTATCATTAAGTCGTGATCTGTATATTACCGGGACATTTGTATATAGTTTTATCATTAACTCGTGATCTGTATATCACCGGGACATTTGTATATAGTTTTATCATTAAGTCGTGATCTGTATATTACCGGGACATTTGTATATAGTTTTATCATTAAGTCGTGCTCTGTATATTACCGGGACATTTGTATATAGTTTTATCATTAAGTCGTGATCTGTATATTACCGGGACATTTGTATATAGTTTTATCATTAACTCGTGATCTGTATATTACCGGGACATTTGTATATAGTTTTATCATTAAGTCGTGATCTGTATATTACCGGGACATTTGTATATAGTTTTATCATTAAGTCGTGATCTGTATATTACCGGGACATTTGTATATAGTTTTATCATTAAGTCGTGCTCTGTGTAATGTTGTCGGTTATTACAAGGAATTTTGAACATATTGATTATAAACAAGGCTGTTAACATATATATCTGGGTAAATATTGTAATGGTAGATGATGATGAACGCTAGAAAACAGCAGTGCATTGTTCCTCGATTCTTATTCCATGATCTTTGATCCGAATCATCCATAATATCTAGTAATTAAAAGCCCAGTAGCCAGATAAACGTTTTGAAATTAAACCTATGTTATTTAAATTTCAAAATTGGCGTTTCCCCCTTAAGCTATATCACAACTGGTCTAATACATATTTAAACACAATGTGAAGACCTGTACCTTCAAGTATCTTTAATTCGTTAAATAGCTTTACACAAACCTGGGGTCTGACTATGGTTCGTAAATAAAGTCACCCACATCTAGATAGGTAAACTTAGTATCCTTCTGTCGATATGTGGACAGTTTATAGACACCGTAATGTTAATATTTACAAAATGGCGACAGGCAGAATATGCTAAGCGGTTTCTTTCACAATGAACATTATTCTGTCCGCATATTTTAATTCAGTAGATATATACACCGAGGCGACGAGGTCTCATCACATCAGGCATATTACTCTTCAATTCAATACAAGAACAAATAGTTATATAACCTCCCTAGCATTTTGACCGCTATAACGGGGCTCGTGAATATCTAATTGTTACATGAAGAGGCGTGCACGTGGTGACTGTTTTACATACGGGGAAAGTTCAAATGAAAGAGATAAAGGAATATGGGGAGGGGGACAAGATGAGGAAGATCGGGTAGCGGGGATGTTTGGTAGAGAGGGTGTTTATAAAGGGATGGAAAGACGAAAGAAAGGGAAAGAAATTGAGTATAATTCGTCATGGACTAAGCTCTGTCGTTTGAGTTCCGTTTATTTGGGAAGATGAACCCCTTGTGACGCTTAATAATAACAGGCCTATTCTACGCCATATACTTATTGCAAAAGTTCTGAACTCGGGGTTACAATAAATGGGTATCAAGAGCTTTCATGTTTTGTTTTGGTTTGTTTGATTTTTTCGTTTTTCATTAATCTTTAACCTTTTAAGTTTAACTTTGCGATTTCAGGGAAAATAATTGCAGGCAAGCAACTAAGCTTGCTAGACAACAGTTCGGAATACCTCTAATTCTCCGTCCAGAATACATGGCGAGTTATGAGCTTGATGAAATGTCGGCTATAACATACTTGTCATACTTTATGAAGGTCGGGGCCCCTGGATACAACGCATGTTTACAGAGGCTGCAGCCACTGGTCCGCAACACAACTGTTTTTAATTTCACCGTAAGTAAGCTTAAGTGAACCTATCGGGTAATGTGAAGGTCGAATTAATTTTCATATCATGACGTCATATAATCCCGTGCACCTCGTCAATAACATTCTACCGTTACAAAACCTGTCATGCGACAGAGAGATGTTGATTGTCATTATATTTTGAAGATAGTTTACATGATTTTACTAGCGCACTATTCAATACAACAGTGATATGTTGATTGTCAGTACATTATGATGCTAGTTAACATCATGTTTCTAGCGCACTATCTAACATGCTAAATCAATTCATTGAGCCTTACATTTTATAAATAAAAATCCTTCTAGTGTTACACATATAATTATATGCATACAACTAAGGCCTATACAAATGTAAATATATGTAATCATCACACTGGTCATTGATATTGGCGGGTATATAAGTGACTAACGCACAGGACGTCTTCAAGGCAGTTTAAAATGAAGAAGAAAACAGGTGAGTATTAATATCCTTTCCGAAATTTAGCATAACATTTCGTCTTCCTGAAAGTAAGCTTTTTTCACGAAGCGACAGCTACCTCTTCCAAAACATCGGTATCCACAAGTCACAGAACGGAAATTGGCACACATAGCGAGTATTCTGTGTCCACTTGCAATGATCATGTTGGCTGACAAAGGATGCTAAGTTCATACAAATACTGAGAAGCTGTTCCATTCTATATCATGTTTGTGTACAACAAGACTTTGAACTGTGGCCTGTTTTAATGTGTTCTTTCGACAATGTAGTATGTCAGATATACAGTGATTAATGCCCGTGATCCCTACAGGAAGTACTATGTACAGGTAACAAGTCTCTGATGTCTCTGTGATGATAATAGCAGGATTTTGTAATTGTTTTAATCTGTTTCTCCATGTTATGTGAATTATCGAAATGGTCAAAACTGGTTAAAGCTTAAGCATACTGGAGTACTTATTGGGATAGTGTGTCCAAACTGTATTGTGTTCCGATATCTATGTACGTTTGTGTAATCGGCGGCAAGATCATACTGTATGTTTTGGTGATGACATAAGATCATACTGTATGTGTTGGTGATGACACAAGAAAATATTGTATGTTTTGGTGATGACTTAAGATCATACTGTATGTTTTGGTGATGACATAAGATCATACTTTATGTTTTGGTGATAACATAAGATCATACTGTATGTTTTGGTGATGACTTAAGATCATACTGTATGTGTTGGTGATGACACAAGAAAATATTGTATGTTTTGGTGATGACTTAAGATCATACTGTATGTTTTGGTGATGACATAAGATCATACTGTATGTATTGGTGATGACATAAGATCATACTTTATGTTTTGGTGATGACTTAAGATCATACTGTATGTATTGGTGATGACATAAGATCATACTGTATGTTTTGGTGATGACTTAAGATCATACTGTATGTGTTGGTGATGACTTAAGATCATACTGTAGGTTTTGGTGATGACATAAGATCATACTGTATGTGTTGGTGATGACACAAGATAATATTGTATGTTTTGGTGATGACTTAAGATCATACTGTATGTTTTGGTGATGACATAAGATCATACTTTATGTTTTGGTGATAACATAAGATCATACTGTATGTTTTGGTGATGACTTAAGATCATACTGTATGTTTTGGTGATGACTTAAGATCATACTGTATGTTTTGGTGATGACTTAAGATCATACTGTATGTGTTGGTGATGACATAAGATCATACTGTATGTGTTGGTGATGACATAAGATCATACTTTATGTTTTGGTGATGACTTAAGATAATACTGTGTGTGTTGGTGATGACATAAGATAATACTTTATGTGTTGGTGATGACATAAGATCATACTGTATGTTTTGGTGATGTCTTAAGATCATACTGTAGGTTTTGGTGATGACAACAAGTAACCATGACGACTGAAAGATATGCCATGATCAACGACGTCGAATACATTATAGAGAAAATCATGAAAATAATGTATGAAAAATCTCTCCATTGTCCCCAGTGACGGTAGATTTGATACCGGACGATAGTTCTTCAACTTATCGTTTCTCAGTGGTCTAACAAAAGCCGTCTTGAAACACGATGGAACTTTTATCTAAGCTAATGATTTGTTCGTGTTTGAAGTAATAACAGAGAATAGTGCGTCAAGACACGATTCATTTAGGAAAAGTAAACGTGGATATTGAATTGTATGGTTAATGCATTTATGGTAGATATGAATGACACTGGTTTGTTGTCAAAATTGCTTAGATCATATGAGTGGCATTGCCATCCAAATTGTGTCATTTTTACTGGCATCATTAAATGTCAAACCCTGGTAGTTTGTATGACTGAAAACAGTGTTGCATACACGTATCTTTAAATCCAGTTAGTTTACTAAAGTAACGTAAAACATTGACTTTTCAACACGTTAACATTTTACTGAACACATATAAGTATTGACTTTTACAAATGTGCTCATGAATTCATGAATACTACTATTTAAACATACGTACAACTTCTTGAAGGCATGTGAATACGGTTATCTAAATACTATAATAAGTATGTGTACATTTTCATGAAGACAATACTCACGAGTACAGTTTCATGAAGAAACGAGTGTTGTCATGTAAACATGAGTAAAGTTTCATGAAGAAACGAGAGTGTTGTCATGGAAACGTGTACAGTTTCATGAAGAAACGAGAGTGTTAGTTTCATGAAGAAACGAGTGTTTTCATGTAAACATGAGTACAGTTTCATGAAGAAACGAGAGTGTTGTCATGTAAACGTGTAAAGTTTCATGAAGAAACGAGAGTGTTGTCATGTAAACGTGTACAGTTTCATGAAGAAACGAGAGTGTTGTCATGAAAACAGATGTACAGTTTCATGAAGAAACGAGAATGCTGTCATGGAAACGTTTACAGTTTCATAAAGAAACGAGAGTGTTGTCATGGAAACGTGTACAGTTTCATGAAGAAACGAGAATGTTGTCATGTAAACGTGTACAGTTTCATGAAGAAACGAGAGTGTTGTCATGGAAACGTGTACAGTTTCATGAAGAAACGAGAGTGTTGTCATGGAAACGTGTGCAGTTTCATGAAGAAACGAGAGTGTTGTCATGGAAACGTGTACAGTTTCATGAAGAAACGAGAGTGTTGTCATGAACACAGATGTACAGTTTCATGAAGAAACGAGAATGTTGTCATGGAAACGTTTACAGTTTCATGAAGAAACGAGAGTGTTGTCATGTAAACATGAGTAAAGTTTCATGAAGAAACGAGAGTGTTGTCATGGAAACGTGTACACTTTCATGAAGAAACGAGAGTGTTTTCATGTTAACATATATACAGTTTCATGAAGATATGTGAGTGTTATTTAAATATGTACATTTTCATGAAGAAACGAGAGTGTTGTCATGTTAACATATGTACAGATTCATGAAGATACGTGAGTGTTATTTAAACATGTACAATTTCATGAAGACACGTGAGTGTTGTCATGTTAACATATGTACAGTTTCATGAAGATACGTGAGTGTTATTTAAATATGCACAGTTTCATGAAGAAACGAGAGTGTTGTCATGTTAACATATGTACAATTTCATGAAGATATGTGAGTGTTATTTAAATATGCACAGTTTCATGAAGATATGTGAGTGTTATTGAAACATGCACAGTTTTATGAAGATATGTAAGTGTTATTGAAACATGTACAGTTTCATGAAGATATGCGAGTGTTGTCATGTTAACATATGCACAGTTTTATGAAGACATGTGAGTGTTATTTAAATATTCACAGTTGCATGATGAGAAGTCAGTATTGTCATTTATACGGGGGCGTAGTTTGCATTTAAACATGGCTTGGTGTGGCGATAATGATCATGATGTATATGAGGAATTTTGCTCGCAAATATGAATCAAAAGCAACAGAGCGTAAGGTGGCATAACAACACAGTATCAATCAGGGCACCTTGTGTAATTTTGACATAATTAAATATCTAGTTATATCGGGGATAATGCAAGCATTAGGTACATTGTATATCAATACAAAATGAACCCAGATTGATGAAAACTTGAACTGTGGTTAGAATTAATGTTAAACTCAAATATACAATTATATATACCACTTATATACTCAAAGAATATTTATTCTGTGTTATAAATACCAGTAGTTTTTTTATTTCGATGCGATGAAGAGTTGTGACGAACATGAGTTCAATTGAATAAGAAGTGTAAAGATTTGACGGCTTTATCTGTTCTCTGATCAAATACTAAAATGTAAATAATGCTCTTTTATTAAGGTAATTGTAGACATACAAAATTGTGAACTTTTCCAAACAGGTTGGGTAAGTGATCAGAAGATTGAGTCGTGAGACTGGTTCTTCGGTCGTGTTTGTATTACATTTACTTATCCAAAATACATATTCAATAAATGACATCAGGAGATGTACAACCACATTGTGATACATACAGTCTGTCCTTTCTGTATTGGTCACACCTTCTACTTGTAGTGTTCTAAAATGCGTGCCTGTTTAACGATATTACTTCACTGTCTGGCTAGATTATATAAAGAATGTGTGACGTTTAGCTTCACATAGATTTTTATATTTCTGTATACAATCGTTTACTGTCTGCTGGTTTCATATTTTTTATTATTCATTAAAGGGAAACATCAAAACAGGATTCGTGAATGCATTCGAAAATGAAGTCAGTTTAAGGGAAATCGTTGTTTTCGATGCCCCTCCTATTTACTGAAGGTTTATCTGCCTGACAACACGTACACAGGTTATTGTATGATTCATATTAAATATGTTTGTTATTACACTCGTATGGTTTCTCCCAGTTAACGATACAGAGTGTTTAAACAAAAACTAAACAGATTACCTAATACTCTGTTACCCATATATTACGGTTAGCCAGCAAGCTGATTTTGTAATAGAGATTTGGTATTCCTACTGAAACAACTAAGTAAGGTCTGGGTAGTAGAATTACAGGCAGATAGCTTTTTACCTGTACATGGGGACAGATGCAGCGATGAAATTGCTTAGGGTTGTCATGAAAAAAGGTCAAAATAACGTGATTTTATTTCGTTTTTGGGTTAACTACATTCATTCATATTTAGGTTAAGTTGCATGTGTGACGATTTACAATGATTGTTTGTGTTTCAGCGGCACTTTCTGTGTATTACTCACGGTAACACCACCCAGTATTTATCAAACACATCTATTATATTACCCGCTGTAGATCGTACATTAATGAGGTATTATACCCTGACGAGTGATTTCTATGTAAGTGTTGACATGTTTTTGATAAGCGGTGGATGTTTAGGTACTTTTGATTACTTTTATTAGTCACAAGGACATTTATAGATATATCGATAGATAGTCTTCAATACAATGAGTAGTATGCATTATAAACCGACATACTAAGTGTTTGTTTACAGACGGATTGGAATGACGGTCGTGTTCTCTGTGAACTCGTCACAAATCTAGGAGCCAACATTCCTAGCTGGCCGGAGGGAACTGCCTCTAATATAGATCTGTTACAACAAGGTAAAAAACTAGCCAAATAGTTATTATCCCAGGAATGAATTTGCCGACATGCAGTTCTTTGTCATGTTGTTCAACCATTTACTGTGGAGCGTTCAATATTCTGAACATTCTACAGTGAGTGGTTACAAATATTGTTAAAACGTTTTGTTTTCTTTTATATGAGTCTTTGTGCATTTTTAGTTGATGTGAATATGGAGATATCTTCAGTGTCGCAAGGTCGCTGCCGTTCTCAATGTGTTAAGTTACATGTATCGCACGTATATATTACAATATAGGTAACTCCTTACAAACACAATCTGTTTAAGTCTCCTACAATCACATGTATTATTAACCCTTCTCAGTAGCAAAATTGCAAGTTGGCCGACATGTTGAAATTACCATTGATGTATGTGATTGCTGAAGAGAAAAATAATCCCAGATTGGTGTATAGTGATAAGTGGATGATGTAACACATGGTGTATATATGGATGTGTTTTGTCAAAAATATGCAAATTGAAAAAAGAAAAAAGATATAGTAATATGTGATGGCGACTCATATCGCATCTTCTGTGTGCCTCTGGCCTAGATGTAAAATTTTACACTGCGTTTGTGGAAATCACACAAAACAGTGATTGTTGGGATGGTACACATGCCTTGTAGAATGTTGTAAAATGTATTCATTAACTTGCAGGTATTAACGGCGGTAAAAGTCTAAATGTGGAACCAGTGGTGCCGGCTGCCGATATGGCAGAGGAAGAGACAGAACACCTCGGTATCATGGCCTACGCTGCACGGTTTCTGTACCTGAACCCTGTCGCTGACAAACTTTTTGGTGACGCCGTTAAACTGAGACAACAGGTGGGTGATATATTTCACCTCATTGGAGTCTCGTTGGTTAAGAGTTAGTCAGCATTTTTCGTTGTTTTCTTAAAATTGTATACGAGGTCTGATCGGGTTTTCATCCTCTTAACCTAGCCTATGTTCATAGTTTGATAATCTCTGTAATTCGTAATTATCCATAAACACCAAGAATTCTTGTATTTCGAATACACAGACTGGTGTGAAATTTCGCCTTTAACATACAACATATAGTTGTTCTGTTATTGACAAGCCATGTGATGGTATTGTTGGTAAAAAGTTAGTGGATCTTGACATTTTCTCGATTTGTTTGTAATTTGCTCATTAATTACTGAATTATTTAAGTATTTGAGTGGTTGCTTTCATCTAGTTTTTACTTTCTATATAAAGTCATATTCAATGTCATAATCCACAGAGCTATATGTTTTATAATGAAATCCCTGTTACTGTTGTTTATAGATTGTCGTTCTTGAGAAACGCCCCTCTTTACGACAAATGTACCCCATACCACTTCCGCCTTTGCCCTCTGAAAAACGCAATTCTAAGCGTGTAGTCGACAAGGAGACTCCGACCAAGGTCGTTTACTCACGTGACATGGAGCCGGTTATCCGTACATACACTATCAACCCAGAACCCGAACACAAAGTATATACCATAGACCCTCAACCTGTCAAGGCTCTATATGCCAACCCCAAGCAGACAGTCACGGTCCGGCACCACAGACAACGTGACCCAGACCCTTCTTACCGGTGAGTTCATAGTAACTAGTATATGACATACCAGCAGTTATATCGGATAGTGACATACTAACATGATCCACATGATTCCACATGATTACCCGGACAAAGAACCCATTATATGGCATCTTTGAAATTGTAATGGGTTCAAGACTTTACGAGCCCAATAGTAGCAGTTAATTCTGTAGCAATGATAACACAATAATAAGCTAATAGTGGGACTAATAATCTGCCCGATAACTAGATTTTGGGACCTATATCCCTTCAAAGTCACAAATAATTTACAGGACCTAAATTATCACTACCTGGAAAAGGACTTTCACTTATTGCAAATTATGAATAGAACCATAACTATTTACAAATATTACTATATACTAGGAAATCACATATTAAATTATGATTTAGGACCTTGTAAATATGCCAAAGGAAAAGTGAATGAATTCATGATGAATTTTGTTGATTTGAATCATTATTTGATTTTCGAACAATGACCTATGTTTATAGACATGTAGGAAACATTGATATATAAACATAGTGATAACTTAATATGACTGACGAGATCATGAAGTTTACAAACATGCATTTCAGCTAGTTTTGTCCTTTTTACAGCGTAGTGCCTTCTCGACCACATCAGATAACTAAAAGCGATGAGAACAGAATTTACAGTTTAATGAACGCCACCGCAGGGGACAAACCCGAGAAGACCTTCAACTTTGTCCGGAGACCATCAATTCGTGCAGCTACAAAACGTGAAGTTCTAGCTGACAATGGTGTCACGATAGAGACGTTTTCAGTTGGAGTAATCATCACAGAGAAAGTATGTTCTATTGAAGCATTATATACGTTTAAGTGTAAAAGATCCTCATTCCTCTGTCTTTAAATTCAACAGTGTATCAAGCAGATCTTAACTTTCTTTAAGTAGTCGTACGTTTTCGTTATTTCATTAATATTTCAAGAAAGAACATTTCTAGCACGCTTTCTGTCTAGATAAATTCTTTGCCAGAACTGTGTCAGTTTACATACACTTTAAACTTGTTGTAGAACCACGATATAGTCAGTAAGGACGAAGTCCGCGTGGAGGCGACTTCACCAACAGGGCGTGTCATCAAGATGACTGGAGACGGATACTACAACGCCCACTTCTCTGCCGATGAAATTGGTAGGCGAGCATTGAAATTACTTTTATGTTTCATATAAACTGGAATATAAATTCTTATAAGTAAACCGGTAGAAGATTAGAGTGACATTTTCATGACAGCATTGTCACCTTTACCAGATAAATCCCTAGTGTGGAACGTACTTGCACTGATGTACGTCATGTACGATTCTCAGATAAATAATTCTACACTTACAGATCATTCCAATATCATTGACAGGGGAAATTCCAAAATGGTCGACAAGGAAAACAACCCTTTCAGGCGGTTGGTTAAGGATGTCTTTGTCCAAACATTTCCTTTGTTTTTGTTTTTGTTTTAAATTAAATTTTGTTTGAGTAACTCTCGCAATCTTCTATATCGTTTAATTCGCAGGTAAATGGCACCTAAAGATATTTATCAACGACATGATGGTTAACTCGTGTCCAATGGATGTCACTGACCCCTCGCAGGTCAAGGTCACTGGTATAAAGCAGGGCATTGTTGGTAGACCACAAACATTTAAAGGTAATTGTGCTGATGTCCAGTAGTTAAATACGCCTCATCACACACTTGTTTGATGCCATTTTTTGAGCAGAGAAATGTATTTTCGTTTTAATTTTTAGACTCGTTCGGTCTTGTTGATGCTCCAGTGAGTGAATCTCTGGAATATCTGTTCGGGTTCCTGTTACGCTTGACTGTTGGTTTGGATATACGCTTGGTCGTTATGTGCGTTATTTTTCATTGCTTTTTTTAATTTTACGTGACAATCGATTCCTCATCTCAAACACCTCTTTCTCTTGTGAGAGTTGTTCCCCCTCGTGTATTTAACTATAAGGATTTTTCTGTCCGAGTGAGCCTCTATTTACATTGTTGATATTAGTCAGAACGTGTTAAATCATTACGATATTTGCAGTGGATTGTCGGAAAGCTGGATCGGGAGAAGTGGAGGTCCAGATCGCAAATAAACGTGGTGACGTGCCCTGTTACATCTCCCGTACAGATACTAATGTGTTCGAAGCAAAATACACTCCACTGTATGAAGGTATCCACAGAGTGAAGGTCAGCTTCAACTCCGCAGAAATCCGGGGTAGGTTCTTGTATTTCGATCTAGTTTGATGAAGAGGTTTATTTGGTGTTTGAATAAACTTTGTGACGCTTTCTTTTCATTACTACTTTCCTATGTGATAAGCACTTTAACAGAAGTTTTGAGGATAATATATTATAGACAAACTCCAAATAACAAATATTTGTCTCCATCGGTGGACAGAAGCCGACTTCGTCATCGGAGAAGGAAGTGATGGGATGCACAGACGTGCCGTGTTTGAAACAGAAATTACAGAAGACGAGGGTGGATTTACAAAGACTGTGAGGATCGCATGTAAGTTACTGTATCCTCAAAGTGATGACGTTATAAGAGTACCCTTTTGTGCAGCTTAAACGTTTCAGTGGTTACTCATGTGAGTGGTCCTGTCGTCATGGATATTACGTCATACGGGTAACTGTATCTTCATATTGCTGGAGTTATGGTTGTGTTAATGAATGAAGGACATTTGTTCAGACTGATTAATGCTTGGTTACTGTCTTATCAATGGTGTCTGCTACCTTGCAATTAAATCTGTCAGGACCATATCACTATAACACTGAGAAATGAAATATGAAAATATATTAGGCAAAATGACAAAGCCATGTGGAGTGCGCGTTGTATTATCAGTTCTTCTATTGTAAGAGAGTCATGTGTGTTATTTAGGTCTCAGCAAATGATAAACAGGTTTTTTGATCAGAAAGTTGAAGGAGCTCTTCTTTCCCTAAACACTTCATTTATTGTGTTCCTGACCACTTCCTGATGCTTTTGTTCTTAGCTTATCCTTTCGGACAATCTCGTCAGGTACGATGAGTAAGATACTACACACTAGTCTATATCAGCCAGACTCATCACACACAACTTCAATAATTACGAAGTGATCAAGCGTCTAGATGAGCGAGACCATTTGTTGCTATACCCGCCATGTTGCTATCCGCCATTGGCGCAATGTATTACAAGGACTTCCAAAGTATAATTGGGACTTCCATGCCAAAAAATTATGACTAATACAATGGATTTTTCCGTTTTATTCTGCGCTTGTGTTATTTGTTGTGCTTGCTTTACTAATTAGGTAACTAATAGGATCGAGCAACTTTCCCATACATATAAGCTTGTTTTAAAACGCTAATTTGGTCTTAATGCAGGTGATTGGCAAATAGATTACGTTACTGGAGGACCAATTGAGGTAAAAATATCGGATACATGTGACGTTAAAGTATACAGCATGAAAGACGGTACTGTGTGTGCATCGCCTCATCTCATAGGTAAGATTATCTCGTAGAGAGTGTATCATCTCCTCACCTTATAGGTAAGATTATCTCATAGAGAGTGTAGTAATCTCCTCTACTTATAGGTAAGATTATCTCGTGGAGAGTGTAGTAATCTCCTCACCTTATAGGTAAGATTATCTCATAGAGATTGTAGTAATCTCCTCACCTTATAGGTAAGATTATCTCGTAGAGAGTGTATCATCTCCTCACCTTATAGGTAAGATTATCTCGTGGAGAGTGTAGTAATCTCCTCACCTTATAGGTAAGATTATCTCATAGAGAGTGTAGTAATCTCCTCACCTTATAGGTAAGATTATCTCGTGGAGAGTGTAGTAATCTCCTCACCTTATAGGTAAGATTATCTCATAGAGAGTGTAGTAATCTCCTCACCTTATAGGTAAGATTATCTCGTAGAGAGTGTATCATCTCCTCTACTTATAGGTAAGATTATCTCGTGGAGAGTGTAGTAATCTCCTCACCTTATAGGTAAGATTATCTCGTAGAGAGTGTATCATCTCCTCACCTTATAGGTAAGATTATCTCGTTGAGAGTGTAGTAATCTCCTCACCTTATAGGTAAGATTATCTCATAGAGAGGGTATCATCTCCTCACCTTATAGGTAAGATTATCTCGTGGAGAGTGTAGTAATCTCCTCACCTTATAGGTAAGATTATCTCGTAGAGAGTGTATCATCTCCTCACCTTATAGGTAAGATTATCTCGTGGAGAGTGTAGTAATCTCCTCACCTTATAGGTAAGATTATCTCATAGAGAGTGTAGTAATCTCCTCACCTTATAGGTAAGATTATCTCATAGAGAGTGTAGTAATCTCCTCACCTTATAGGTAAGATTATCTCGTGGAGAGTGTAGTAATCTCTTCACCTTATAGGTAAGATTATCTCATAGAGAGTGTATCATCTCCTCACCTTATAGGTAAGATTATCTCGTGGAGAGTGTAGTAATCTCCTCACCTTATAGGTAAGATTATCTCATAGAGAGTGTAGTAATCTCCTCACCTTATAGGTAAGATTATCTCATAGAGAGTGTAGTAATCTCCTCACCTTATAGGTAAGATTATCTCGTTGAGAGTGTATCATCTCCTCACCTTATAGGTAAGATTATCTCGTAGAGAGTGTATCATCTCCTCACCTTATAGGTAAGATTATCTCGTAGAGAATGTATCATCTCCACACCTTATAGGTAAGATTATCTCATAGAGAGTGTAGTAATCTCCTCACTTTATAGGTAAGATTATCTCATAGAGAGTGTAGTAATCTCCTCACCTTATAGGTAAGATTATCTCGTGGAGAGTGTAGTAATCTCCTCACCTTATAGGTAAGATTATCTCATAGAGAGTGTAGTAATCTCCTCACCTTATAGGTAAGATTATCTCATAGAGAGTTTAGTAATCTCCTCACCTTATAGGTAAGATTATCTCGTAGAGAGTGTAGTAATCTCCTCACCTTATAGGTAAGATTATCTCATAGAGAGTGTAGTAATCTCCTCACCTTATAGGTAAGATTATCTCATGGAGAGTGAAGTAATCTCCTCATCTTATAGGTAAGATTATCTCGTAGAGAGTGTAGTAATCTCCTCACCTTATAGGTAAGATTATCTCGTGGAGAGTGTAGTAATCTCTTCACCTTATAGGTAAGATTATCTCATAGAGAGTGTATCATCTCCTCACCTTATAGGTAAGATTATCTCGTGGAGAGTGTAGTAATCTCCTCACCTTATAGGTAAGATTATCTCATAGAGAGTGTAGTAATCTCCTCACCTTATAGGTAAGATTATCTCATAGAGAGTGTAGTAATCTCCTCACCTTATAGGTAAGATTATCTCGTTGAGAGTGTATCATCTCCTCACCTTATAGGTAAGATTATCTCGTAGAGAGTGTATCATCTCCTCACCTTATAGGTAAGATTATCTCGTAGAGAATGTATCATCTCCACACCTTATAGGTAAGATTATCTCATAGAGAGTGTAGTAATCTCCTCACTTTATAGGTAAGATTATCTCATAGAGAGTGTAGTAATCTCCTCACCTTATAGGTAAGATTATCTCGTGGAGAGTGTAGTAATCTCCTCACCTTATAGGTAAGATTATCTCATAGAGAGTGTAGTAATCTCCTCACCTTATAGGTAAGATTATCTCATAGAGAGTTTAGTAATCTCCTCACCTTATAGGTAAGATTATCTCGTAGAGAGTGTAGTAATCTCCTCACCTTATAGGTAAGATTATCTCATAGAGAGTGTAGTAATCTCCTCACCTTATAGGTAAGATTATCTCATGGAGAGTGAAGTAATCTCCTCATCTTATAGGTAAGATTATCTCGTAGAGAGTGTAGTAATCTCCTCACCTTATAGGTAAGATTATCTCGTGGAGAGTGTATCATCTCCTCACCTTATAAGTAAACTTCTGTCGTAGAGCATCTCCGCAACTTATAGGTGAGTTTAAAACGTGAAAATGTAGACAACTCCTAATCAGAACGAACACATTCTCGTTAAGTTTTACTTGATTTAGCAATTATATATGGATAGTATTAGCTGTAGAACGTTGTATTCCATTTTCTGGATTATGATCTGTTTCGAGACTTAGACAATTATCGGAACAAAATGAGAACAATGAGGCATCATTCCGCTTCTTTTTGTCTCTTCTGATATTTAATGATATGCTGTTTATATCATGATAGAATAATTACGATATTTTGACGTCCTGTCTCTGATGTCTTACTTATAAATCGCTGATGTATAACCATCACTAGTTCTTTGTACTGATGATGGTGGTCTTAAACATCTAGGTATAGTTAGTTGACTACTGCTTTCATTGTTTTAAATGCTTGTATATTGAACGTTATAACGATTAGTAAAAATGTCTGCTCATAGCTGACTGTACCGATGCCCCTAACGGACGACTCGAGGCGGACGTGCTTCACAACGGATTCAGATTTCCTGCAGAAATCAAGGAGGAAAAACCAGATGTGTTTAGGATAATGTTCCGACCACGTGGTCCGGGACTATATAAAGTTTTCGTGGTGTATGACGGCGTTAATGTCAAAGGTAGGCTATTATTTCGATCTATTCTTAGTTGTATATATGTATGGAAACAACTTACCCTGTAACTAGTGCTGACATTGTCGGAATTCACCTGCTACAAAAACAGCATGTGTTTATACTCTTGCTGTACTTAAACACATGTATCAGCTCACTGAAACTTTTTTGATTTAGTGAGATACTTAATTTAGAAGAGAAATAAATGTTTGAAAAAGCGATTTTGTTTTTATATATTTTCTTCGCTCTTTTTTTCCTCGTAAAATTTCATAAAAAATCATAAAATTGCTGTGATATCTATTAAAGTTTCGAAATATATTGAAGCAGTTATTTTGGCATACATAATCTAGTCTAATTTATCCAAGGTCAACATCATATAAACACATGTTTAGCAGCAAATTTTTGAAGTTTCAATAGTTTGCATTTTCAGTGAATGTTGCAGGATGAATAGAATATGCGGTCAGTCTCTTAAAATATAGTCTCCTCTTTGCTCGAGGAGAAAGACAAAAGTGGCTCGCGAGAGCCTAGCAAAAGTAGCTTATAATTTAGGACACTGACCATGTATTTTTTAAATACGTTGTCGTCTTTAATTTCTGAAACTGCACTAGAAGTATTAAATGTCAGCTTTTGAGGCAAACCTTTTCCGTAAGAAGTGTTTCGGCAGGTCAGCTAAAAATCAGTTTGTGACATATAAAACTTTATTATAAGCTAGTCCGTGACAATATCGTTTTCTGGTTAGTAATATAAAAAAAAATCTCAAAATGTCATTATATCGATGTACATATAATCACTAACATACATATCTGCAAAATTTTACTGAGGGTCGCAGCTAATACATGTATCTCTTAATGGGAAATTATATATATATACATACAATCATATAGTCAATTTATAAATATACAACGGAATTCACACCATCATTTAATCAAATGACCTAAAAACTGGAAAACAGGCTGACCTCAAAAATAAGCCTATCCTAAAAAATGAGCATGTAGTCTTTTACGTCAAAAAATTGCATGCGCTTACTATTTAATAAATTAGCCACGTCTTATTTTGGTGTTTTAAGAGTATGTGTACAACGCTAAAGGTGCACAAATGTCGCATAACCGTGGAACAATATCAGTTAACAAAGACATGTTACACTCATCTTTTGTATTCTCTGTCATCTTGGGTGCAATCCATTTAACTGTAGTAATACGATTAAGCTGATACCTGTTGATAGAAGAAGCCCATCAGATGAACTCGCGCATATTGACGCCAATATATTTGTTCGTTTTGCCGTAATAGGGTCCCCCTTCATACAGGAGATAGACGAACTGACGTCACCCAAAGCGACTGGCGAAGGGCTGATCAAAGGAGTGAAGGACTCTCCAGCGAAATTTAATGTAGATGCCCGAGGATTTCCGGGAGATTTATCTGTGATCATAACAGGTATGTTATAACAGTATCCATATATAACATCAATAAAAAAAGGTGTCGTTTCATGATGTTATGCGCTAATCTCTAACTGTCCAAACATTCTACTTAGCATATATAAACGTAATACAAATTTGAATAACCCAATGATGGAAACTCCAATAGGTCTCTTAGCATGGTTTCTTCTGTCGTTTAGGTCCTAACCATCCGGTACAGTGTGCGACAACACCAGAAGAGGACGGAACTCACACTGTGGTATACCATCCGTCAGATGTGGGAGTCCATCGCATCAACATTCGACTGGACGGAAAGGAGATTGATAGTGAGCGCATTTTAGAGTTTGAAAAGAAACAAATCTATAGTAAAACCTGATGTAGTGCCAATATCCAGTTAATGCAGGCAATGATTTTACTTTTAACTCGGTGAAGAATACAGCATGGCACCACCATCGAGTGCTTCAGAATTGTGCCTCCTTTTCTTGTCGCATTTGCGGCAGCCGAGTCAAAATTTTCCTTTAAACATTTTCTCAATAGCTACATCGCCACTGATTAATAACAGCTCATCTCTGAAAAATCTGTACCTTGTTGATGTGAGTCAAGAATATATCATTACTTGGAGGGTGGAACGTTGCTAACTTGGGAAAAATACGTTATCAATGCAATTATACATATAAATGATGTATTTCGGGTTTGAATGAATTCTTATTTGAGCAGTAGAATCAATAAAGACAAAATTCCACTGCAATACAAACTCAAATAGCTTCTTGAATCTTGCAGATTAAGAGAAGGTAAGAAGATTCGAATAAATCATACACACTGTAATGATCGTTTTGTCTGGTTTTGAAGAAATGTATCGTTCATTTTTGACAGACAGTCCCTTTAAACCTCGGATAGTGTGCCCTTCACGTGTGCACGTGTCTGGTGGCTGGCGCCCCCTGGTGGACGACAGAGAACGGATACCTTTGGTTGTCAATAAAGAGAAGCAAATACCATTTGACGCTAGCGAGGCTGGCCCAGGGGAACTTGTAGCAGAAATACATGGCCCAAGCTTTAAGGTCCCCAACGCCATAGATTCAAGAGGATCCGGAAAGCATATTCTTGTCTTCACTCCAAAGGAGGAAGGTATTTTTTTCTCCATGTACCCTAAATGTCAAAATAAGGTAATACACAACAAATTATTCTAAATTGTACTTTTCTTCGTATTTCTATCAAATATCTCAGCCACCTCAATAAATGAAGAAACTTAGCTTTCTGCATAATATAATTAGTTCTAGCTCAATAAAACACGAATATCTCTTTTAGATATGCATTATCAATTAATGGCATAATTTGGAATTGTCTCTTTATATACGTTTTAGGTACATAATTTATATATGAGTCTGAACTCCTCTTGCTGTGTTTCAGAGATGTTAAAGATCACTTTTCTATTTAACTTATTAATATACTTAAGATACTTACGATGAAAATATTGAATGCTATTTTTCTGACGTGTCGCAGGCACACATTACATTGATGTGCGATGGAGTGGCCACGCATTGCCAAACACCCCTTATGTTGGGTTTGCTAGGCGCCAGCCGGAGGGCGTCACCGATGAACAACCCTCTTTCCAATCCATTATCCTTCTTAAAAATCCAGATGGCTCTAGGTAAACAAACCTTTGTTTAAGTAGTTCAGCTTAATATAAATTTACAATGAGATATCAAGATAGATTGTAACCTGTGATAAAGTACTGTGATGTTCACAGGTAGAACAACACTGACTTTCACGTAGAATTTTCTATTTTTCAGTAACGACAGCGATTCCTCCGACAACATCGATCCCCGAAAGAAGAAGAAGCGTTCAGTCCGTAAAATTCCAAGTTACACTAGTTCCGACTCCAATCGTAGACCTCCTAGAATAACTGTTTTACGTCATAGATCTGATGTCGGCTATCCTCCCAACCCACGAGTACGTGTCCTTAAACACCAACGTAAGTAACAGGATATCATATTTACATAAAAAAATAATCGTCGATTTTAGAATAGAAAAGTATTGTTGATTTTTATATCCTTGGCCTCTTCATTTTAAAGATATTCAATCAACAAAAACAGCAATGTGACTATTGATTTATTTAAAAACGTATGCTTTTAAACTTGTCATTTTCCAAGGTTCACATACAAAACATCAAAAACAAAATAGATGACTTTGTTGCAAATAGGTCATGAAGCATTGGAAAAAAATTACAGTTAATTGTTAAATTTTCCAAGTGCTCTAAATCTATCAAATGTTCCATTTCATTTGTTACAGCTAGCCTACGGTCTAGTACAACGGTGACTGACGATGAGTCGGGTCATGGAGGGCCTCGCATATCTGCAGTGTATGTCCCAACAAGTCCGAGTCTTAGCTCACGCTCCTCTCGCCCGCCATCATACAAAGTTGATGAAACTGACAAAAACGATTCAACATTACCGTACATTTCTCCAAAAGTGATTCTCACTGGCCCTGGGCTTAAAGAAGCCTGGGTAGGAAAACCTACTGTGTTCTACATTGACGGAACTAAAGCCCCTAAAGGTGAGCATGAGAGTGTTGTTTAGTGATGAAAAGTAATATATAGGAGGTAACACGATAGATGTCTGTTTTCTGGACTTGTTGTATGTCTCATCACCTGACACTTCTTAGCATTTCTAATAAAAACGTAACCTCTAGATAAGAAGTCGCTTACTTTTTATGTTCCAAGGATCCCCAGATGTACACCTGAGTAGTGTAAACGATGAAATACACATGGATCCCACTCCTACAGGACCCCAGTACTACACCTGTTTTTATACACCAAAGGTAACGTATACGAATGTGTTTTCCCCATTAGATTCAGGTTTGTTTTGCACCAAGGGTAATGTTTGTGTTTTCCATCTAAGGAAACGCAATTGTTTAAATCCCAAAGGAAATGTGTGTACTTTTCCACCAAAGGTAAATCATAGTTACATGCAGCAGTTCATTTGTGTGTTAACCAACAAAAATAATGTGTTTTCTATAGAAGATAACGAACGTGTTTATACACCAAACGTATATTGTTTTTCAGTCAGTAACATATCCTGTATTGAAATAACAACTCGCTATTCATTTGTTAACATTCTATAAGAAATCTATTTCGCTAAACAGGAAGCTTTTAATACAAACTTCTCGTTTGGTTAAAAACAGGAACCTGGAGCTTATCTTCTGAATATTAACTGGAATAAACATCCTCTGAAATGCTGCCCGCTCAAGGTGAACGTTCACAAGAAACCCGAACACCGACCGCCAAGCACACGTACCAGCGTGACTGATAATGATAACTTAAACAAAGACACCCCACAAATAGACCCCGTGCCAGTTCGAGAGGGAGTCGTCGGCAAACCTATCCTCGTCAGCATCGATACTGCTAAACTAGAGCCGGGTATGTAGACACTTAAGTGGAGTCGGATATCTTCACAATAAACTTGCGTAGGGTATATGGACACTAAACAAGAGTCGAGAATACAGAAACCAAACTAAAGCCGAGTATGTTGACACCAAGGTCTAGTCAGATATTTAGACACTAAACTTGAGTCGGGTATGTAGACACTAATCGTGATTCGAGAATGTAGACACCAAAGTAAAACCGGGTATGTTGGCACTAATCCAGAGTTGGGTATGTAGACACTAAACTTAGGTCGAGAATGTAGACACCAAAGTAAAGCCGGGTATGTTGGCACTAATCCAGAGTTGGGTATGTAGACACTAAACTTGATTCGAGAATGTAGACACCAAAGTAAAACCGGGTATGTTGGCACTAATCCAGAGTTGGGTATGTAGACACTAAACTTAAGTCGAGTATGTAGACACCAAAGTAAAACCGGGTATGTTGGCACTAATCCAGAGTTGGGTTTGTAGACACTAAACTTAAGTCGAGTATGTAGACACCAAAGTAAAACCGGGTATGTTGGCACTAATCCAGAGTTGGGTATGTAGACACTAAACTAAGTCGAGTATGTAGACACCAAAGTAAAACCGGGTATGTTGGCACTAATCCAGAGTTGGGTATGTAGACACTAAACTTAAGTCGAGTATGTAGACACCAAAGTAAAACCGGGTATGTTGGCACTAATCCAGAGTTGGGTATGTAGACACTAAACTAAGTCGAGTATGTAGACACCAAAGTAAAACCGGGTATGTTGGCACTAATCCAGAGTTGGGTTTATAGACACTAAACTTAAGTCGAGTATGTAGACACTAAACTAAGTCGAGTATGTAGGTATTTGATTAGAATCTGATATGTAGACATAAAAACTAATAAGAAAATACCTGCATATCAACAAAATCGTAATTGAAAGCAAAACGCGATGAAACGATGGCAAAAGACGATTCAAGGAAAGATGTCTGGAAATGTACCAGGGATATAAAAAGGGGGTATTATTCGTCAGTATAGATAATATTTTCTGTATTTGCGCCACAAAGTATGGCGAATATCAAACCGAGGATATTTCTTTGAGAAAAAGTAACATTACTGTTTTTCCAACTCCTTTTTTGATCTTCGATGATGAAATTTGAAATAGCTGAAACTGCTTATATTAGTTTTTAAACCCAATGACGAAATCTGCGCGTGACAAAATAGATCCATATACGGTATCTCGATGGTAAAATATAGCAGAGCATCCTTATATCAGATCAGAGTGGAAATGTAGACATGAAAAAGTTTTTTCATATAGAAATTCAAGAGCAGTATAAACGTCAGAAGAGAAATGTTATTTATAGACTAGTTACAGACTTGGATCACATGACAATGTCATGTTGACACCTGTGGTGTACTTAAGTCATTTAACTAGAAAGGGGTTTTTAGAAATTTTCCAGTAATTTGGTTTATCTGTCAAGACGGCATTTTGACACATGTAGATTCGAGTCATCTGATTAAAAACGGTTACTTAGACACCAATCTTAGACTTAGATAATCTGTTCAGACAGTGCCATTTTGACTATAAAGGGTATTTAGACACAAATTATTGGCTTGGCTTGTCTAAATAGAGAGGGACATTTAAGCACCAATTATAGTCTTTGGCAATCTAACACCAGTTGAAGACCTGTGTGATTTTCATTTCAGAAAATTGTATTATCATAATTTTTCAGACAAAAGGAATTAGGCAACAGGCATAGCCTATGAAAACCTTTTCCATACAATACAAATCAATTATATACATACTAGTATCAAATTATCAGTAACTTACAGAATGATATCAAATAACGCTGTGACTGAAATGATAGAATCTAGAATATACTTTTGACTAAATAAATGGAAAGGAAACATTACCATCAGCAAACAACAATGAGTGATTAAATGAATATATATATACAATTGTATCATGATTAAGTCCATATGCCTCCTTAAATGGAGGCAGGCAAGGAGGCATATACTCAAACTGTCCATACACTCTCACAATCCTTTGCCCAGTATATAAAGTTGACAAGCAAACCCAATTTTGAGACAATATTTGTAGACTGAACGAATGAATTTACAAAATCATCCGACTAGATCAAGATATGCAAACACTAAACTAAAGACAGGTTGGTAAAAACTACAAGTTGCAGTGATATTCGGATATTGTTCGATTATTAATGTCTAATCATTGTTTTTTTTAGCTCACTTTGAACTTATGTCACACCGCGTCGTCAGTCCGTCCGTCAATGTTTTGTTTAAATGTCACGAACGACTAAGCGGATGATGACCAAATTTGATCAGAAGTATTCTCCGGAGAAGGGAAACAACTTTTGGGAGGGCACAGGACCCATTATAAGAGAAAAAGAATAACTTCTTTAAAATTCTTCTTTCGTAGGAATAAGATTTTTTTCTGAATTTGGTCTGATGTAAGAATAGTTTGACTCACTGCCTAGGTACAGAGGATTGGGGCAGATATGTTGTGTGCTTTTGATATTTAGAATTCCATTATTAGTTTTGATGGAGAAATTTAAGCAATATTCAACATCATTTAGTTGGTAATGAATTTCTATATCTAGTATTGCCTTTTTGGTATTTTCTTTCCAGATGTTTATCGTTATCTCTTATTACAATGGAGTGTTGGAGTGTTATGCATAAACAAATTATTTGTGACAGACATTAATTGTATTTCTTTTTCACCTTTGTATTGTCAGAGACTCGTAAGTATATTTCGCTGTTACCAGTATAAGCTGTACTGTTGGTGATTTTATTGTACAACCGCATGTCCCCATGTACTCTGTTCGTAGGATTGGCTCCTGGCATGTTGATCGTATAGTTTTACCGCCACTGTGGAACCTTGTAAATCTGGATAGAAAAAATAATCAGCAAAACTCGCATTCTAGATTCCTTAGAAATATAGCAAAGACCATGCTTCATATGGTGTTTTTTAAGTTTCTGTCGACCAGATAATCTAATACTTTGATTTTGTGTTTAAAAGATTAAGTGTCCAACTAACTGGGTTCCATAATAATTTGTTCATGTTGTGTGCATATTGTTTTACCGATATATCAATATGTGTGGGCGACATTGGACTATATCTAAATGTTATTGTAAAATCACCTATTTTCGTGGGTACAATTTTCTTCGATCTATATATATACTACATAGACACTTGGTTTCAATACATCTGCTTACTCTTGGTTAATATAGAGTACCGCAAAATTATAGATAATAAATTTCCCACGAAAATAAATGATTTGACTGTGAATGTTGATGATATCATTCAGTATATTATGAATTAAGTTGTCCTTTTTACGTTTTTGACATTTTACATGTAGAGTAATTCTCAATTTTCCTTTATTTAAACGTTGAATATTTAAGTTATAAATATCGTGCATGTGCATGTTAAAAGAACAATTCTTGACGTCAAAAATAGATACAGTATGTGTAGAGAAATCTATATCCTAATGTTCTATTTTCACTTTATTAAACATGTAAAAATATTTTCAATTATAATGATTCCTATCTTATTGATACGGGAACACACGTATGTCGAACCGATCTTGATAAACTATTCATACAATAATCTACTAAGACTACTTAATGTTATTGCTGAATGTTACATCATGTAAACGTTATGTGTTGATTTGTATTATAAGATATTTCATTAATCAGGATGTCCTTTCTTACATAAGGGAAGTAGAAATGAACCGTTCGTTTCTTTAGTATTTACAGAGAGTTAATTTTTGTTTAGTGTTTATTTCGGTAAACAAACTAAATTTCATTTATGTTACGTAGTTTGGCTTTGATGAACTGTCGAATTTTCTCAAGTGTGATGAGTGTTATTAATATTGTATGACTTACAATAAATATTTTCAGAGTCGTTTAATATCATATAATATATACATTGTACATATATTTGCGTTTGAAAAAGAGCATACTGCCTCTAAGCCTAACTCACTGCGTTATGTACATATATTACCTGGACTTAGAATAAAACAATTAAACTAGAAACTGTACAATGGTCGAGGTCATTTTGGTCTATATGTAAAAATATTTTATCATGACATTGTGAAGCAAATTTAACAAGAATCAAATGACACTGACTTCAAATCAATAAACCGGAATTAACGTTGTGAATAGTTTACTGGTGGTCTTTCGTTATACAAGTAGAATAGACTTAATTAAAAATCGGACCTAATGTTCGACCATACTGTACAGATATCTTAGTACAGTCGAAAATGTTGGTCGATTCCTTACCATTTCGTTCACTACGTACGTCAACATATCAACATTTATACAATCCAAACTCAAATTCGATAAAACGAAAGCAAAAATTATGTTACATCAACGACACTTGCCATGTGTACACTGCACTAAGGTCAATACAAGCAAGTGCTGTCACGTTCTTAAATGAGAACAATGTATACAACAAAGAGACCAACAGGCAAATAATGAACATTAAACACGTTCAGCTTCATATCGCACAAAGAAATAGAATATTTGTACTTCCCCATACTTTTCATCAACCTGCATCTTTTGTGTCTGTGTCACGAATGTGTTCGTTAGTTTACGATTTCTTGCACGAATCTCTACGACATTTCAACAACACAGGTTTGGAATGTAGGAGGGTTGGTATCCAGAAATGGGAAAATTAAATTTCAAAATCTAGTAAATAGTTTTTTTCATATTTTATTAAAAGAAAAACATCTTAACTTCTGTGGATTGGTAGAAAATGATTAGTGTGGCAAGATGGTAGCCATGTGACTTGAATAGGTTTTGCTAACCAAAGAATACTTATCGTTCAGTCTAGCTAAGAGTAAACCTATCAGTTCATTTTACACATGGGAACTAAAAATATAAATATATTGTTATTCTTGTTGAAAACACTGATCTTACAAAGTTGAGCTTCTAATGAATGTTTTTAATCTACACAGGTGAGCTACGAGTGAATTGTACCGGACCTAATGGTGAGGTAGTACCGGTGGTATCGACACCACAAACTGATGGCACTTTAACAGTCCAACTTCGACCAGTCGGGCCTGGCAGACATATACTTAACGTCCGACTCAACGATAAGCATATATTCGGTAAGAGTAAAATATGAATACATTTTGTTTTTATTTAATATATAAATGTGGTAAATCCAGGGGAAAATGTAAATACCATACATCCTAAGTGGAAGAGAAACTATATGGAAAACTACGCTAGAATTCATCTTCGCGAAAATTACCTCTATTCCGTTTCGTTTTTATTTTTGTTCAGTATGTTTGGCTTTTATTTTGTTTTGATCCTTTTCTTCATATTCATTATGCATTACTTAAAGCAGAAACGACATGTGCTGGAAAAAATAGTGCAGTTCATTTCTTTTTGTTTCGCTCATGTCATTTTAACTTTCTGCTGTACTGAATAACGATAAATTAATGAATGCAATGAAACATATCTAAAACAAAGTAAGTAAAACTGAACGGAAACGAATGGAAATCGAGAGAATTATGTTTTGCGTCAATCATATCGTTTCGCTTTTATTTCGTTTCTGTTTGAAGAAAAACTTATTTTTCCGAGGTGTTTTGTTAGTAGCAGAAATCAATTTTGAGAAAAAAAAACTCGTTAAGTGATCGTCTCTAGAACAGCATATTTCATTGCTTTACAAACAGGAAGTATTATATTGACCTACCGTATAATGATGATATAGAGTATATATCAAAGATGATCAGTATAGTAACTTTATGATGTATATTTTACAGACAATCCGTATAATGAGAGTATGGAGTATATATTACAGATGATCAGTATAGTAACTTTATGATGTATATTTTACAGACAATCCGTATGATAAGAGTATGGAGTATATATTACAGATGATCAGTATAGTAACTTTATGGTGTATATTTTACAGACAGTCCGTATGCTATTGACATTCGCCTGAACCCTAACATTGGCACTGTAGACGTATACGGACCGGGTATTTCTAATGGAATCCTGCCACAGTTCGAGGGCCAGTTCTGGGTGGATGCCACTAACGCTGGGGCAGGAGAGATACACGTCAGTATCATGGGCCCAAAAGGTGAGATCAAGTGACCTCAAGTATCATTCACATTATAGTGTCACATGATATTAAGGATGTTTTCAGTGAAAGAATTTCATTACCAAACATTTCCCTGCATATACACCGTTTTGTGCAAAAAGTGAAAGATATCAATCATATGAAATACCACATGCTAATATAAACACACTTGTGTACTGAAATCATTTTTTTTATTCCAAAATTTTACCGCGTTCAACAATCGGTCATTATATGTAAGTTGTCTGACTTTTCACGGTATTTGTTGATGAATTGTAACTAAAGGTATTATTCCATCAGGTGCGTTCCGAGTCGAAATGATGCGTTCCAGCCAGAAGACAAAGGTGTTCCACTGTCGTTACAACCCTATAGAACCGGGTGTATACAACGTCAACGTATTTTGGTCAGGTGTACACATCAAGGAGAGCCCGTACACCGTTCTTCTTGGTGTATCAGAAGCCGATTTAGACCGCATGGTCCTTGAGCGGAAGGCGTCCATGTATCCAGGTCCGCCCTCACATCGAGGATCTTATAAGTACGTACCTGCTTCGGACGAATCAGGTATTATGTATTAACTAGAAAACTTAATATCACTTTCTTGATTTTATCAGACTATGTTGTACATTGCTGTCCCTGAAAATACTAGTATTGCTGCTTATCCTTCATCACGAACTGGGTGAGGTGAAATGATCTTCAAATCACCGTTTTGAAATATGTGATGTTAGGAGGTGTTATGTCTATTCTGGGGAAGGTTTACGTTTGTTTACCGTCGTTAAGTTTGTGATAAGGTTTTGTTGAAGTAAAGAGAAATGTCGAAATTGATTAAAAATTTCAATATTTGATATGCCTATATATTTTACATATTTTCTGTACAAAGAATGCGATTTTATCATAATTAGGCTTGGTATTTTTGTTAGTCGTGACTGGTGTTACAATTTACCGACATGACACGCACTTCTCCTTTAGAAACTAATGTGAATCTTCAGCCGGTACACATGAAGACAGTGTGATACCCAACTACTATTATGTTTACCTTACTTAACCTTGTAATACAAATTACATTATCTCTATTTACCGGTAATTAATATGTACATTATTTTATTTCCGTGTTGTATTCAAACAAATGTTTTATCTAATATTGTATGTACAAATGTACACCTCAAAGAAAGAAATTTTGTCTTACGTGTTAACAATTATTCAATGTACCTATTTGTTTGTATGAAGAACTGAACGCTACGCGACTTTCGCAAATTTATATCACATTGTATACACTATTTAATTGATGTTTTTAATTAATATATCACAAATTAATTGTAAAATATGTAAATGTACATATGTCAAATGAAATATGCACCGGAATTTGCACGTTTCTACTCGGGTTTTATTCGTTCTAATGTCATTCTAAAACAAAAGATGTACTAAACCCCTTCTCTATACAATGCTGGGTGTAAGGAATGATTTCTCTATATGTCATATGTAGTTTATTGTTAATGTCAAACTGTTTAGATACATATAGTTGTAATAGGTACACACGACGTCCTACATTTCTTAAGTCATATTCACGAATTGGCAGTTATAATATACAACAAAATTTGCATCCCATTTCTTGTTACAAACCAATTTAAGCAGACAAAGCAGGTCACACAGTACATAAATATCTGGAGTGTTTAGGGGGATTTAGTGTACAAATCCTTCTTATGTGATTTAAACTTCCGATATTTTATGTAAAAACAATACGTCCGAAGACAGATAAGTATAATGTTTTAGGTACATATACATGGTTTGAAAGTTCTTTACATTTCTACATATATGTAAACATTCCTAGTCCATTAAATGTGATGTAATTTTTCATCTACATGCAACTGATACTTGATGTTATCTTACATGGTCCGTATGTTACCTAAGTTTTATTTGTGATTGTTGATATTATACAGCTAGTGAGGACGTTATTCTTTAATCAGTCTGTGTCTAGGAAAAAGGCTTATGGGAAATTGGTCTAACACCTTTGCATTTTTCTTCTATTTAAATAAAACCACTGTGACGTTGACCACCTTATATTATACGTGTTAATTTTGTCATATTACTATCAATTAAAAAAACACTTAAGTAAACATAATTATCATATAAGTATGGAGACGAGTTAATTTGTACACATGTATTAACACAAATGTTTTTATAGGGCGTATAGTACTTTGACGAGAGTGCGTTACCTTTATGATGGTATCACCGTTGTTAAATAATCATACTCACATGTAAATAAATATGATGATATATAATTATGTAGATGAGCAGATTTGTATATGTATGTTAACAAATTTGTATACTTATAACTATATGATAAACGTTCTTGCCAATTTTACCTTTATTATATTATTGCATATAGCTATAATGAATTAATCTGTATTTTTCCTCCTCAGATGAATACAGCATTTTTACATATAACATGAATATATACCAGTCATTACATATAATCACACAGACACATACATCTACCTGTGTCTCGTACCCGGTGTGTATTTCATAGAGATGGAATTATTGTTATTAGGGTACGTGTTCAGCATGTTTGATATACCCGTATGAGACAACTTTGCTTTAAACACAGTATAATTTGAGTAACACTCAGTACCATTAACAGTCTTGTATAAACTTACACTGATAACCATATTATCACATCTTGTTGAAACTGAAATACAACAAACATTTTAGGACACGAGGAAATGTCCACCTCCATTAATTGCACACTGCCTATAGCCTTGTGTCTATTATTAGTATGTACCATAGCTGATAGTTAATGTACCCTAAAGTATGGAAAATAAGCCGACCTAGAAAATAAGAAGACCTGAAAAATGTCAGCCATAAACATAAGGCCTTTTTGAAAATAAACATGTCTTGAAAATAAAGCAACTTGAAAAAACTGCCTTGAACAAAAAACGCCATTTTCAAAAAAATGAGTTTTGAAAATAAGCCATTCTTGAAAATAATATTTCCTTTAAAATAAGACGGCATTGAAAGTAAGCTTGTGTTGAACACAATACGGCATTGATGAAAAGCTTGTCTCAAAAACAAGCTTGCTTGAAAATAAGCTGATCTTGAACACAAGATTTTCTTGATAAATAGTTAGTCTTGAAAATAAGCTTGTCTTTAAAACAGCAGTCTTGAAAATTAGACGGCCTTGAAAATAAGCCATTCTTGAAAATCAGATTTCCTAGAAAATATGTCTGTTTTGGACACAAAATAAATCTTGAAAATAACTTGTCTTTAAAATAAGACGGCATCGAAAACAAGCCTTTGTTGAACATAATGCGGCCTTCATAAAAATCCTGTCTTGAAAATAAGGCGGTATCAAAGATACACCTTTCTAAAACTAAGCTGGTCTTGAACGAAAGACGGCCTTGATAAATAGTCCTTCTTGAAAATTGGTCTGTTTTAAAAATGAGCCTGTCTTTACAATAAGTTTGTCTTACAAATAAGCTTGTTAGGGAAATAAGACGGCCTTGAAAATGAGCCAGTCTTAAAACAAGACGGTCTTGAAAATAGGTCTATCTTGAAATTAATAAGGTCTGGTTAATAATCAGGTCTTGAAAATGTGACGGCCGTGAAAAGAAGCCGTGATTATTTTACTAAAAAGAAAATAAGACGTGGTTTATTTTCACGATTTTAAGATATCACAGTATGATATTCCATGGCATATTAATACGATGCGCCATGGTATGTGCTTGCTTTGATGGTGGTAAATGCTTTTGCTGAATAAATATATTACGAAGCAAAGAGTGTGTTGTCTTTTATTGGAATGTGAGGTATAACACGAAAACATCGAAAAGAAGTATACATTGGACAAAGAGGACGTTATATATAACGTATATATGTAATTGGTTTTTACTTAATTTAAATTTTTTAATTTATTGGATAACAGTTTAAATCACTGTTGAGCTCTACTGTATCCTACATTATCATTAAAGGTATTGTTCACTTGCGTGTATTTTGTACAATCCTAAGCATTGAAGATTGTACTAAAGACTAGTCAAATGTTTAATACCTATATCGTGAAACCTGGAGGACAACAAGATAATTTCTAAGTCACCATTCAATAAAAGAGTCGCTTATTAAACAGCAACGGATAATGCATGGGACAATAACATATGACATTTTAATGTAAAGGTAATGTTATGTTTAAACAACGATCATGACATTACTGTTTATTGGTATAAAAACCACTTATATCTGAGACTTGTTAGATAAATCGCCCTACACTTACAAAATGTTTTGATATACAGTAAAATGATAAAACATAACAATAGACTCACTAATATTTCACTGACATGTTTATATAACAGTTAATTTGTATCATTAATCATTGATTTTGAACTATCAGTAAACTATATTACTAGGACAATTTTCCTATTAGTGAGGTTCCAATCAATAAGTGCTGACAGCTTGATTTATTTCAAGCCATAGCAACATCACGAACAGAACTCTTTCAGCTGGGATCCGCAACATTTCGTGAAATTGTCATAAAACGTTATTTCCGATTAATTTTTCCTTCAACATAAGGAAGAATATAAAATGTTAATGCTGTTCTATAAAAATGTCACTATACTAGTGACAGTAGAATTAAAGCAGAAGATGTTGCATTGATTCTATAATTCAAACGCGTTACATTTCGGATGGTATCTTTGAAAAAAAAACTATAAACTTGATTTATTTACAACAATTGCGAAACAAGTTGTATTTTAACTTATACTAATCACTATGGTTGGCCCGGACGTACGTTGTCGTATTGCGGGAGGAAACCGAAGTACCCGGGGAAAACCCACGTGGTCGGGCAGGTGACCCTTACCTTTTACGTCCGTTCCAGGAGTCGAACCCCGGATGACTAAGTGAAAGACGAGTGCGTTACCACTGCGCCACCCGACCACCAAAAGGTTACTAGCAATAACAATAAGGCTGAAAATGTGGTGCCGAATCCACAGTTAGTCATGTTGTATCCTTTGCAGTAGCAATAAGGTCGGTGATGTGGAACTGATTTCACACTATAGTAGAGTTACGTTATTTGAAGAAGCAATTAGACAAGAAGTAAGGCGCTGATTCCGTTATTCAACCGCGTTCTCCTAGTAACAGTAGCAAGAAGACTTTTGATGTGATGTTGATTCTTCAACACAATTGCGTTATGTTATTAACAGAAGCAATTATGCAAGAAGTGCGGCGGTAATTTCGTAATACAATTGCGTTCTCTTAATGACAGTAGCAATAAGGCCGAAGATGCGGCGCCGATTCCACAATACAATCCGCATTGTGTCCATATTTATTGATACGGCTTATCTGCCGTCCATTCACCACGAATTCACCACTCGATGTGTGATTTACACTAGCTTCAAATGTTCCATTTCCAGGAATGGTGACAAATGTCACCTGGTATATTTCATTAACATCTTGTTTGAAATCACCAAATTGGGGAAAACGACCGTCTTTGTCTACACTCCCTTTGTACTTGAGTACATCGTTGTCTATGCCAAACTTAAAGGCATTTTTAATCTTGTAAAGGTAAAGTTCGCTACAATTAGGTCTGAAATTACTTGTGTGCTTATTTATGAACTCTATCACTTTTGAAACAGCAATTATGATTTTTGGAAAGTCAACAGATACTTCTGTCCATTTAAGACATGCACACCAATGTGGCTCAATACCAGCTACTGAACAGGTTCTATCTAGTGGCATTGGTCTAAATAAACTAATCCCTCTTGATGTTTGACCTAAATTGTTTTGTTCAGTTCTCTTGAGATCAAGAATATCATGAAACGTTTCATGTATATCGAAAGGAGTAGTTAACTTTTTCGAATTTGACAGAAAATTTTCATGAATATCCGGATATTTCGCTTTAAACCACGGCGGAAATCGCAAAGCAAAATAAGGAAGTCGCTCTTCTAATTTACCTTGAAATGTCTCGCGTATATCCGCGAATCTGGAGCCATGGTCACTCATAAGGATTAAAATTGTATTATTTAAATACGCCTTGTCATTCAGAAACTTCAGCAAAGCTAGTAAGTCGACATCTGCCCATTGTAAGTTGTTCGGACTTGCATGACTGTATTCGGAATGGAACCCGAATATAAACTTGAGTTTGTGTTCATATTGCATAAAACTGTCTCTTACCCAATCAAGCATGATTTTATGCCTCGGCAGAGATCCGAGACAGTACGGCTTGTTATGGGGGTACAATTTCTCAGCTACCAAATAAAATGGGCGCATGTAATGGTGTACAGGCTGATGTTTAAAGCCCATCATACGGAGATTGAATGTGCCTATGTGTGCCATGTCTTCTGCCCAATGGGTAACGTATCCAGCAGTTTCAAAATCTTTCCATATCCATGGATGTCCATCTACCATTGAAGCGTTCGGATGTCCTCGGCGAGATTCGGGAAGTTCCGATTCTGTTTTACCTGTCAGTAACGGCAGTAAGGCCTGGGGAGTGCCGTCTCCGACTATGTTGTAACCTTCCAACTCGACACCACCAAGAATATTTCGAAAATAATTTCGACTTTTGGGCAGTTTTCTTAACCAAGTCATTCTAGAGACACTATCAAATCCCAACATCAAAACATTTAGTTCCATTGACTTTGTGTCCTTTACATTTCTCTTAGGAGCTGTTGAATTACGTGTAATTGTTGCATGGATGTTCACATATCTGGTTTTGTTAGGAGATAAACAGGATATTTTAAAGAAATCGGAAGGAGCCTGCATGACTTCTTTGGTCATTGGCTCTCTCCTGCCAGTCACCGTTATGTTATCGTTTCCAGGTTTGCGCATCACTGCAGCAAACTGACATTTGATGTCCCCATGTAGTTTGCGAGCCTCACGTGTTATCCAAAATGTTCCATTTTCCACAGCTATCCAATTTTGTCTGCTGTCACATACCAAGTCTGGCACTTGATAGAAGAAACCTACAACAGAAGGATGAAAAGGTCGAAGGTCAGGTTGGACGCAGACTTGTTCGGAAACATTTTGTATGTTGAAATCCATCGTTGCGTAGTCGTCGAGAAAACTGCCCTCCATGTAATCAGTCCCTTGAGATGTAAAAAAGTGTGATTTCATAGCGTGCCAAGTAAGGTATAATATCAACACAATAATAAACGCTGGCCACTTGTATCTATGACATACAAGCCTTATGTACGAGTTCATGAAACACAAATAAGCCATTATTGAAATATTCCTGTATTGGTATGTTGCGGCAGGTTTTTATTTGTTTCCCTGATTTTGATCAATATTTTCGTTTTGTTTAGACGGTTATAGATTTTATATTTTGTTGTGTATCAGTGCTATCTGTCAGTTAACAGTAGCTTTCTTTTGCTAATTGCTGCATGTGACGATAGAAGGGCTCACAATCACTGGCTCACAGAAATATCCGAATCTAGCTATTTCCCGCATGCATTCTGTAAAATCCCTTGAATAATGCCCATGCTACGCCTTATTTCACACTTTGCCGTCACTTGTTAATGTTGCTTCATTTACGAAATAATTTCCTCATACCGGCATTATGCTGTTCGCCTGAAAAGAAAGTGGTCACAAATATGTAGACATATTTACAAACTTACATGTCAAGGTGAAGAGTATCTATAAGGTTCATGAATCAGTATATTAGTGACATGCCTTACAAGTATCACAACTAGGAATTTACATTGAAACTCATTTCCAATAGTTCATGTACTGCTAATAACAACAGGTAAATTGTATATTGGCTATGACATAAATGTATATTTTGTACAACAATGTACGTGTATGTTGTCGTTTCCATAGTTTATCGAGTCACTACAAGTATATAATTGTGAAATTTATAAGGCGGCTATTATTTATACGTTCTCGATCTGACCAAACCGATATTGTATTACGTAAAGAGATCATGACTGAACACTATCTCTTAATATTACATTCCACAGTATAAATTGCCTGTTTGATCATTGGTATTTTCCTTTTTCTGGAGCTGGTATTTTATGCGACTTTCCTCATGGACTTTCTTTTGTTATTTTGATTTACAATATATTCATTTTTCATGTTTTCCTCTTTCTACTTTCACGCTTTTGGTTGTTCAACGGAGTAATGTGTTTTGTATATGTGGTAGCACACGTCCCTGTCTACAAAATCTAGGATCATCTAACGTCAAGATAGTGCGTGTGTGGAGTCAAGAGTGTACACGTGCGTCTGTAAGACACAAATTGAATGCCCAATAGTACAATCTCGTTCTAGCGTAGCCCTTCAAGGCGAAGTGTTCTGTTATCTTTATTTTTTGTGAAATTTCGCCGAGACGTCTTTAGAGTTGCTTTTGTGTGTTTCTAGGCAGGCCTTCTATCGATTACCTGTTTTGGTGTCTGTTAACCATTTTTCATTGATTCTACCGGCACTCTGGCATGCCGTGTGTCGTGTGTCAGTGTGCAAGCACGCGCTTTTAGTTATACGTATTCATCTGTATTAAAACTAAGACGAACGTGAATGTGACGCAATGAAACATATGTATTATCGGCTCAAGTTTGTCGTGTATTTCACATCAATCATATATAATAATTTCATGAGCCGACAATTTCTTCTCCAAGCGAGTACAGAAAATGGGCGTTGAAATGATCATCTTTCTAGACATCTGATAACGCAGTATTAATCTATATATACCAATAGCCTAACTCTTTCTTTCATTTGTGATGGCGGTCACTGTCCTTTAAATAAAGGGATTATGTTGTGATAGTGTATTTTCGCATAAAGATGTAACTACAGTGTACCTCACCATTCCCACAAATGTCATTCATGGGAACAAGAATTGTGTGCCAATGAATTACAAATGGACAAAAACAATACGCATTATGTTGTAACATACTTACGATATAGACAGGCGCAACCTACACTTTACCAAAATAAAACCACATACTCACATTGGTATATCACAGCGGTCAATTCCACTTTCAGCCAAAGGAGATGATATTGACACAGTTCTGTAGTCTGTACACCAAGCGTATTTATCTATTTCTAAACATCTCACACGACACACACTATAGCTGTGGGAGTTTCCGCCGTGAAGGTCGACCTAGTGAATGTCATTCTGCTGCCGCCCCTCCGCCAGAGCGTCACTGGTATCACACAAGAAGCGCTCTCTGTGTTAAAAGTTTCTATTTTCCTGTGTTTCTTGATACTAGATATTTTGTTCAGGCTTAAGAATACAGAACACTCAGACAGGTTCAACGTTGTCTTGTAAGATGACTGGCTTTATATTACGGCGGAAAGGCCAAGCCTCATATTCATTTGACGAAGCAAACCACCCTCGGGACGCACGATTAGTGTGAAGTTATGATAATGATATATTACGATACTAACCTACCGGTATGTATTACTCACATATAAAGTCCAGGAACTGCTTCGTCTGGAACTTACGAGTACAGCCGGGAACTACAATCTAGTACTCATATATAAAGTCTGGGAACTGCTTCATCTAGAACTCACGAGTACAACCGGGAACTTCCATCTAGTACTCACAAGTATAGCCGGGAACTTCCATCTAGTACTCACGAGTACAACCGGGAACTTCCATCTAGTACTCACGAGTACAACCGGGAACTTCCATCTAGTACTCACAAGTATAGCCGGGAACTTCCATCTAGTACTCACAAGTATAGCCGGGAACTTCCATCTAGTACTCACGAGTACAACCGGGAACTTCAATCTAGTACTCACCAGTACAGCCGGGAACTTCCATCTAGTACTCACGAGTACAACCGGGAACTTCAATCTAGTACTCACGAGTACAGCCGGGAACTTCCATCTAGTACTCACGAGTACAACCGGGAACTTCAATCTAGTACTCACGAGTACAACCGGGAACTTCCATCTAGAACTCACGAGTACAGCCGGAAACTTCCATCTGGTACTCACGAGTACAACCGGGAACTTCCATCTAGAACTCGCGAGTATAACCGGGAACTACAATCTAGTACTCATATATAAAGTCTGGGAACTGCTTCATCTAGAACTCACGAGTACAACCGGGAACTTCCATCTAGTACTCACAAGTATAGCCGGGAACTTCCATCTAGTACTCACGAGTACAACCGGGAACTTCCATCTAGTACTCACGAGTACAACCGGGAACTTCCATCTAGTACTCACAAGTATAGCCGGGAACTTTCATCTAGTACTCACAAGTATAGCCGGGAACTTCCATCTAGTACTCACGAGTACAACCGGGAACTTCAATCTAGTACTCACCAGTACAGCCGGGAACTTCCATCTAGTACTCACGAGTACAACCGGGAACTTCAATCTAGTACTCACCAGTACAGCCGGGAACTTCCATCTAGTACTCACGAGTACAACCGGGAACTTCCATCTAGTACTCACGAGTACAACCGGGAACTTCAATCTAGTACTCACGAGTACAACCGGGAACTTCAATCTAGTACTCACCAGTACAACCGGGAACTTCCATCTAGAACTCGCGAGTACAACCGGGAACTTCAATCTAGTACTCACGAGTACAACCGGGAACTTCCATCTAGAACTCACGAGTACAGCCGGGAACTTCCATCTAGAACTCGCGAGTACAACCGGGAACTTCCATCTAGAACTCACGAGTATAGCCGGGAACTTCAATCTAGTACTCACGAGTACAACCGGGAACTTCCATCTAGTACTCATATATAAAGTCTGGGAACTGCTTCATCTAGAGCTCACGAGTACAACCGGGAACTTCCATCCAGAACTCACGAGTACAGTCGAGAACTGCAACCTAGTACTCACGAATACAGCCGGAAACTTCCATCTAGTACTCATATATAAAGTCTGGGAACTGCTTCATCTAGAACTCACGAGTAAAGGCGGAAACTTCCATCTAGAAATCACGAGTACAGCCGGGAACTTCCATCTAGAACTCACGAGTAGAGTCGGAAACATCCATCTAGAACACACGAGTAAAGCCGGGAACTTCCATGTAGTACTCACGAATACAGCCGGAAACTTCCATCTAGTACTCACGATTACAGCCGGGAACTGCCATCTAGAACTCACGAGTACAGTCGGAACTTCCTTCTAGAACTCACGAGTACAGTCGGAAACATCCATCTAGAACTCACGAGTACAGCCGGGAACTTCCATCTAGTACTCACGAGTACAGCCGGGAACTTCCATCTAGAACCCACGAGTATAGCCGGGAACTGCCATCTAGAACTCACGAGTACAGCCGGGAACTTCCATCTAGAACTCACGAGTACAGCCGGGAACTTCCATCTAGAACTCACGAGTACTGCCAGGAACTGCCATCTAGTACTCCTATATAAAGCTTTAAAATGCTTCATTCTAAACTCAGGGGTTCATTTTCCGAAATACCATCTGATAATAACATGTAGAAACTGGGATTCACTCTGTAATCTAGTACTCACAAAGAGTCTTGGAACTGCTTTATCTGGTACTCGCGTGAGATACCTCATTCTATCACTAACGCGTAGAATCTTGGAACTGCTATTTGGTACTAACAAGATTAGTCACGGAACTGTTCCATCTGGGATACAGTACGGGAACTGCCATCAGGTACTAACAAGATTAGTCTGAGAACTGTTCCATCTGGGATACAGTACGGGAACTGCCATCAGGTACTAACAAGATTAGTCTGGGAACTGCTCCATCTGGGATACAATACGGGAACTGCCATCAGGTACTAACAAGATTAGTCACGGAACTGCACCATCTGGGGTACAGTACGGGAACTGTCATCAGGTACTAACAAGATTAGTCTGGGAACTGATCTATCTGGGATACAATACGGGAACTGCCATCAGGTACTAACAAGATTAGTCACGGAACTGCACCATCTGGGGTACAGTACGGGAACTGCCATCAGGTACTAACAAGATAAGTCACGAAACTGTTCCATCTGGGGTACAGTACGGGAACTGTCATCAGGTACTAACAAGATTAGTCTGGGAACTGATCTATATGGGGTACAGTACGGGAACTGTCATCAGGTACTAACAAGATTAGTCACGGAACTGCTCTATCTGGGATACAATACGGGAACTGTCATCAGGTACTAACAAGATAAGTCTGGGAACTGCTCTATATGGGGTACAGTACGGGAACTTACGTACTAACAAGATTAGTCTGGGAACTGCTTCGTCTGGTACTCCCGTGTACAGTCTGGGAATGTTCCATTTAGTGCTCGCATATAGAGACTAAGAACAATTTTGGACTCTACCATTTGCTCCTTTGCGGAGAACTGCTCCATCTTTTTATCATGTGTACAGTGTGGAACTGCCACTCTGCGTTCTAAGAACCAACTGCGACTTATAGAATCGTACATTACAGACTTTCTCGTACTAACTCTTATTTCAAACATTTCTCTTTACGAATATGGATTGACCTGGATAAACCGGCTTAGTCTTCACCTTCCCTAGCAACTTTCAAAACTTGACACCCGAATCCCACAGTCAATCTTGTAATTTTTGAGACAGACAGACTAATATATTACACACTAGACTGAGAGATCGACGTAGCTAATTAAAGTAGGACGTGTATCGAGTTTGAATTTCAACAGACGGTATCATAAGGCTATATCAGAGTAACAGAGGTCATCGTTTATCTCGATGTCTCCGCTAGGATCTAGATGCGGAACTCTGGTTTACTAGTCTTATTGGTGTCAAACGCATTTTGCTCTACTTTACCCCAAGTCCATTTAGCTGTCGCTGTTGCCTTTTTGCGAAGGTTTTTCTTGGGCCCTTCTGGTAGTGCCACGTTGTGCACCATTTTTGTCACCAGGGCGTAGCCAAAGCATCAGTTCGGATGCTTTTATTCACCTCCAGTCATTAGGCAAAAAACCCTACAACAACAAAAAAGCATACATACTTCCAATAACTTCCGTAAAGAACTCACACAGTCACCAACGCGAAAGGTAGACATCACTTTCTGCATTGTCAACTTAGCAGGCTTCTACATGGCGATGGAATCATGTATCTCGCAAAACCCTGAACAGCGGAGAGTGCTGAACACCACGCGCTGACGTCCAGCAATAGAGTCAGTAGATTAAGAAAAGGTCATAACTTATTCCAGTGCCTCCGCTAGGATTCGAATCCAAAACATTCTGCCTTGATAGTCTCACGCTCAACCGATCGAGCTAAAAAGAAGTTCTCTGTCGCCAAGCGGTGTATTGCGGTTAGTATTTAACAGGGTTACATACTCCCCCTCAAGGAAATAAGTCGTCCTCGTGTGTCCAGGGATTACAGCGATACTTGTGAAAGTAACGTTATGTATTATCCCCGTGTTCCTACGTTGGCGCCAACGTAAGAAAGGTCACTATCTATTTCATTGCTCCGCTAGGATTCGAACCCGGTACCCTTGCCTTTATAGTCTAACGCTCAACCGGTTGAGCTAGAGAAGTTCTGTGTAGCCGAGATATGTATTGAGGCTAGCATTTAACAGGGTAACATCAGCATATTGTTTGATGCTGAAATATGTTGAAACAAATACGTTTTAAACAGCCAAGGTTTTAGAAGTGCTTCCTACTTGTACAAATGTATGTGTATTATTCATTTTATGTGTAGCCAGTTTGCTATGTTGAAATGAAATATCCTCACAGTTCTGGTTACTCGCTCACAAACCCGCTGTACGCTCTCACACGTCATCTCAGTATAGCTCGGTAGCATTGAGCAGCTGACCATTTAAACTGGCGACTGCGTCTGCGTCCTGGTTTTGTGTATACTTTCATGATGGCGTGTTTGGCGTTGATTGTGTTAGAGGTACACTGCGTCACTTAGCATTACGGTTTCGGTAGGTGCTCGGTACTGGTTTGGACAGGGATTAGTTTTGCTGGTCGCGCTGACTTGTACCTTATTGAAGGTGGTAGCCTCACAAATTTACGTTACCGGGATGAAATCCTTCATCCAATTGTAAGACCCTTTGCTGGTGCCGTCGACCTCCTCGTCAAGATTGACCACGAATTCCACAAATGACTATACGGCGCCTGATTCGCGGCTTACCAAGCCGATGTCATGCCGTTATTGGGGACCATGTAAATCACGCTCACTATTGATTGCGTTGCTGAACCCCTTGAAGAATTTTAAATTTTCAGCGTCATTGGGACTTTAACTGTGTTTTAGAGGTTATGAACTTTTTATGTAAACACACAATGCACGCTTGACTGAAACTGTACCAAAGTGGGTCAAAATTGTTTTCTTATTCTTTGACTTCACTCTTGTATTTCATATTTCAAAATGGTTTGCCTTTTGATACAAATAGATTCATCTTAAAAAGTGACTCCTATCATTTTGTGGCAAGTATAAGTAATCCAATCTATATACAGAACTTTTATAGCTAGTCCCCGGAGTATACACATGTACATATACCTCGATGTGGCGTCAAATCAGGGGTGTGTTATCCTCTCTCCCACTTTTTGAGAAATATATATAAAATGCAGTAATAGATTAAATGTTATTTATTTTACAACAATTGGGAAACAAACTATTGGCTCCCATAAATAATTTTTATTGCCCCGGATGGAAGCGCGTGAGGGGTCTTACAGCGGGAAGAAATCGTAATATCAACGGAAAGCCACTTGGTCGGGCAGGTGACCCAAAACCTTTCCACGTCCTTTCCGTGAATCCCGGACACCTAGATACAGACCAGTGCGTTTCCATTGCATCACCCGACTACCCACGAGATGTTGTAACAGTAGTTATAGTCCCACCTGCTGTACCTGTATTGTTCCACGTTGTATATTGTAGAAATAGATGATGAATGTTTGCATGATTGCTACGGCAGAAAAAAATATTGAAAATATTCTAAATAAGCTAATTAAATTCATATTAGATAATTATAGGACAGCTTATCATATAGAGGGTAGCACAGAAAACATGAGAAGAAATAGAAAACTTAGAACCCAACATTTACAGAGTAATCGCGAATTCTAAGAGATTAGGGCCAGCAGTGAGGTAACGGGCATTCACCATACACAGCAGGAGGACAACTGAGACTCGAAGGAAGACGCTGTAACATCGGCAGTCGTCGCAACCAACTCAAGGATGTTATTCAGTACGCTGACGCAGCCCCCCATCTTATACATGTAGAGTGACAATGTCTTAATGTAATAATGTTTGTATTGACTTTTTAAAATTTTATATTAATGCTTATTACGGAATATCTTATATTATATTTAGTGTTGTTGTATATATTGTATAGTAGTATCAAATACATTGTATATATTTATGTGTGTTGCTTTCGTTCTATAAACCTATTGAATACGTCATTACTTTTGTTACGGATTATTTTCGTATCATGTGACTGTTTTACATCTACGGATCTTAATATGAATATTGAAACAATGTAATACAAGTATACATTCTCTGTCATTATCGATTAATTCAATGTTATTTCATATTTTGCATCCTTTGATATATCTGTATGTTTTATTGATTTAGTTACAGTAAAATGAATACAAGTTTTATTCAATTTTATTAAATAGTAATTGGAATCTGATTAAGACTTTCATATCAATTACAAAAATCACGAAAAATGGTTATCAAAATATATATACAGTACAGGTAAATAATCTACTTGTACATTTAGCTACTTTTGGAACAGTAAGTAAAATAATCTACCTGTATATAGGTAGTATATGAGAACAGTACAGGTAAACAATCTACCTGTATGTATACGTACTATATCAGAGCAGTACAGGTAAATAATCTACCTGTACGTATAGCTACTATATCAGAGCAGTACAGGTAAATAATCTATCTGCATGTATGTACTTGATCAGAACATGCTACAGTGTATAAAGACATCTCTTTTATCTATCCAAAGTATTCTTTTTCCAAAAAGGTAGGAGGAAGGAGAAGAAATGAATCAGGCACATTTTGAAATATTGACTGTCAGCATGAACGCGCTGTTTTTATTACGAGTAATAGCTTCATATAAATGTGCAACCCATAGTAATCATATTTGCTCACACTTGCGGTAGATTTGAACTAATATTCTTATAATTTTTCATAAAATATTAATTTCAGTCATTTTTTGGTTATTTATATCATTAAATTGTACCATATTGTACATGTATTTTAGTTTTAATACAATTGATTAAAACACTGTCTGCAATTATCTTCATGTGCCGGAAAAATAATACTGCTCAGGTTCAGAATTTATCCACCTAAATAGAATATCCGGTTGTTTGTGGACTAATGTTTAGATCTCCATGTGAGAAACTCTACTCGATTTTTTACTGTGATCAGATTTGATATGCAATTATTATAGTTTCGTAGTTTTTACATGAGTTATAATCTGACAATACATTAAAAAGACGTGTGACACAACACAGTTGCAACCGGATGCTGGGTATCCATGGGTGATGTACGCATAGTAGATTAGGTTAACTAGTTTCAGCTGTTACACCCCACGTTCCCGTAGACCAAGATGCCGGGTATAGAGAAATTACTTATGGGAATATTACGGTACAGAGTCAATACAAGATGGAAGCTTCTAGAACAATTTCAGCGCGTGAAGAACAATCCAGAGGTACGAACGACTACTGTTTGCGTTTCATAAAAGCACCTCATCCTCATCAGAGGTCACCAAGATCACGATGTTGCACAAAGTTACGAAGTTAGACCGAAATAAATATATATATATATATATACATTTACCGTTCGCTAAATTTCACTAATAAAATGAAAATATATTTCAATATTTTTTTCTGATCAAAGTCCTACTTTCCTATTTCATAAAAAAATTGGCACGTAAATGATATTCCAGTTAGTAGTTCTAGATGTTCATATACTGTACAACTTGAGATGAAGGTCTAATGTGTGGAAACCTGCATGGATGATGATTCAGCCACACGCTAGCATATTACAAATGAATCCCAGACATATTCCCTCACGATGACTGTGGCTGTTCTATATGCATTTTCCCCCAATTGTTCATTATAATACTTTAGAAGGCACATCTGCATTAATAGCAATTTTTTAGAAAACTAATTTTGTAATATATTGTTTGTTATTTTTAGCTCACCTGACCCCAAAGGTGGGAGAGTCAATCAATTTTTTAAAATCTGTCTTGTTCTTTAGAAATTGTAGGATATTGTCCCGATAAGTTCTGAAGCGTGTTTTAATGAATATAAATCAGAGTGATATAAACAGTGGATCTCGGGGCTCCCCCCTGGGGCCAGATGGGCAGAGCCGAATAGAGAAAACTATCAATTTCTTTAAAATCATTCTTGCTGTTATGTAGGAATACATGGATTCTGTCCCAATATGCTTGGGAAAAGGATCAATTTTGTATGAACAATGGGTTTTGGTCCATTGGGACCAAAGGGCCAAGGCCAAATAGTGGACACAGAGCAAATTCTGAAGAATCTTATTTATGTTGGAACTGAGGACATTTTTTGACAAGTTTAGTTCTTTACAAATAGCTGTATCTAACCCCATTTTGGAAGAGGGTTTTTATCTGTTACCGGGAAATCAATTCTTTTTAAATAATTTTCCTTTAATTAAAATAAATCAATTTCAGCAAACTAAATCAGGTGAGCGATACAGGACCTTTGGGCCTCTTGTTCATATAATAGCACCACTAATGAATTTAGGTGTTTAGTTTTGGAATACATGTATACCAAAATGCCTATAGCCAAGAAACATATTGATTTGCTACAGTGCGAAAAGTGGTTAATATATGTGTTAACATGTAAAGTATCACAATGTTCTACCTTTTATTCATATTTTGAAAATGAGGGCATGTGTACCTCAAAGAATGTATTCACACACAAAGGAATCCTTGAAAAGGGATGCAAGTCGATATTGGCGGTTTTGTACCCTCATTTAAGGGTATATGGAGTATTGATAATACTCGTATAGCCACCATGCAGTAGGGCAATGGCTGGTCATTTTATGTCGACAAACCGTTCATCAGCGGGAAGTGTTGTATATAGGGCATTTTGGCCAACTTGTGGGAAATGGAACAATCCTTATACAGCATTTTTTGAAGTAGCTCATTTTGAATTTTTTGTTGGACTGTTTTTGCTTCATTGCTTGACACTTGATATAAACTTTTATGACTTTAGCATAAATTGTGTGTTTACAGCCAACATCAGTCTTTTTCACCTGCATAGACAGTCGAGTGCTGGCTACAAAGTTTATGGACAGTCAAGTTGGTGATAACTTTGTGGTGCGTAGTGCAGGTAACCTGATTCCTCATGCTTGTAACTTCAGCTATGAGACTGCAACAACAGAAGCTGGAGCTTTAGAGCTGGGATGTATCGTGAATGGTGTTAAACATGTAGTTGTTTGTGGACACTCAGATTGTAAGGTGAGTTGTTTATCCTTGCTGCTTCTGTATCTATCAGATTAACGATTTTACTTGAAATAAGGTTTTATTATTCTGTATCTGGCTGAGTCTACAAACCACTTATTCATTTTAGGCCATGAATCTACTGTATTCAATGCGTAATGAAGTCCACATCAAAGAAGGAGGGCCATTACAACTGTGGATGAAACGACATGGCACAGCGAGTCTTGAGAAATTTAAACTGCTTACACCAGAAAATGAGTACAAAGGACCAGTACCATACCAGACAGCTCGCAAGTTTGAAGCTTACATTGATCCTGAAAACCGCTTTAATTTAGAGGATAAGTTATCACAGGTTTGTAATTAAAATAATGAGGGCACATGATATAGATACATATTGATATGATTATATATAACTTAAAACTTATACACCATTTGGTAAAAAGCACTATTAACTCACCTGATGGGCGATACAGACCCTCTAGGCCTCTTGTATGGTATGATCATTACAGTATTAATGTGACCCCTCCCCCCAACCCCCAACTGCCTATGAAACCAATTTTTACACCTATATCAATAAAGAGAATTTAGGTAAACCTGTTTGTGAAAGTGCTGTAACCTACAACAGGATCTTATCTTTATTTCTGTAATGATATCAAAGTTATGCCTTACATTTGAAAAAGATATCTGTCTGCATTACGTAAAGATTAAAGGTTCAATAAATCTGTTTCCTCTGTAAATTTAAATGTTTTACTGGTTAACTGTTTTAGGTTATGCCCTTAGCCAACGAAGTTTTGTACACTGGTAATAAGTTATTTTTCAAGCAAACATTTCTTTCTGGCTTTTTTGTGTCTCTGAGAAGCCACTATATGTATATCTTTTAATGATTGGACTTTTTTTAAAATAATATACTGGACTCGATTGGGAAAAAAAGAAAAACCGAAAATCAATTGAATGTGTACTATAGATGATGCAAGTAGCTGTTTCATAATGTTCCATGTACCTTATACCCCTATCAACTTCTGTACTCATTATAGGTAAACTGTCTGCAACAGCTACAGAACATTGCCAGTTACCCGTTCCTGAAGGACTTGATCACGCGTCAAGAGGTGAAGCTACATGCCATGTGGTTTGACATTTATACTGGTGAAGTTTTCATGTTCAGTCGTACACAGCAGAAGTTCATAGAGATTAATGACCAAAACATTAACCACCTTCTTCATGATGCCTACCGTAAAGTTGAAACCATTCCATTAGCTGAACAGAGACGAAAGTAATAACCAGCACTGCTGCTTGTTTCAGGATCAAGCTGTCATCTTAACTTGTATGTATATGACAAGCACTGATGTTTCCTGTTTATGTGAAATAAGCAAATAGATGACATACATTTGATAATGTAGATATTTATGATAATTTCTTTAATGTGTTTCTCTGAATATTATTTATTTGTTTTAAATACAATCTTGTATCATAGACTTTGAAAAGAGCTATCCATACTACTGTTACCCAATGCTATCTGGAGACAGACTAATATTCTTTCAATATCAGATTAATATTTTATATTCAGATTGGTGAGATTTGAACCCAGCACACCAGAGTCCAAACACTGTTTGAAATTAATTTCAGATATAAGGAAAAAATCTGGATCTTCGATACTTCAACATTGTATGTTACAGTAGTATTTAATATGATAATGAGAGTCTCAGTTTAAGAGTAACTTCACTTATTTTACTGGAACAGTATCCCACAGACTGATCTCTTGGTCTTAGATTAGTGTTACATCTCATTGTATCACTCAATTTTCCAAGACTTAATTTGCTAGCCTGACATATTGAATGCCAACCCTAACTAACTCAATTTCTCTATGACCTAATCAGTTGCTCCAAGAGTAAGATTTCAAACCTTAAACTTCACTTGAACAATTTTCACAGACCTACCGGTTATCCCCAGATTTAGAGCTCCCCCTTTACTTAGATGACATCCCTTATTACTATACTGGAACAATTATCCACAGAACAATTAAACTAAGCTCAGATTTAGACATCACATAATTTCACAAAGGTTTCCCCACAACAAGAAATCTCATGACTTGAGATTTGGATTATCTCCCCTTATTTCAATTAAAGAATTTCACACCGAAGAAATTTCCTTGCCTCAGATTTAGACAATCTATGGGACTTTGAATTGTTTCGGGATGATTAAACGCACCACAACAGGTCTTAGAAACATAAAAGGGAAAGCCAAAGAGCTTACAGTATCTGTTAAATAATAATATAGAACATTCTGTATTGGTAAAACGGTGTTTTAAAATGTTGTAAAGATGTCCTGGAAAATTAAAGTTCACTTACCATGTGTCATGTAGAGTAGTATTTATTGTAGGATTTTTTTTCTTGTGAGTCTAGAACACTTATTCCAAAATTTTAATGAGACCAGTTACAAAAACATATAGTGAGTTTTGAATATTTGAGTAAGTCCCAAAGGAAAAGCAGAATCCAGGACTAACAGATATTTCAGTCCCAAAAATCTCTTCAGAGTTTCTAAAAACTAGGAAGAGTCAGTCAGCTTCCTACAGACACAAGCACAGCTGACCCTTCAAACTACATCTAGCATTATCTCCAACGTCAGCCTAGGTTCCAGTCTGTGTCCACTTTAATATTCAATCTCCAAATACTTCCAACGGTTTAAGGGAAATTGGCCAGTACCTTGTTGTCTCAGTTTTAGATAACATATGTACCTCCCACAACTTCACTTGAATGATTTCTTGCAAACCTGTTGATGTGTTTTGCCTTGGATCCTATCTGACATGATTCAGATGAATTATAGACAATCTTCACTGATACCAAAGTGGCATATAGTTCAGATGGATATCTTCCTGGTATCAATAACATGTTTGATAAGTCTACCTCAAGTCTTAGAATCATTTATACATAAAAGCAATGAACAACCGACACATACAAAGTTTACTGGTAATGTGTCCAAAATCTGTGTTTTATTTTCTAAAATACTCTTGTGTTCATAGTCACACATGTATTGATAACAGTGATGCCAATCCATACTGTATTATCTGAGGTATATTATGTGGTACTGTATTAGACCCATTAAGCACCCAGGGTGTTAAAATCTACAATTGGAGGGGGACTTAATATACGAAGCACTCTTATTTGACAAAATCAGATTCATTCATATGGTGCATTTTTTCATTAAGAATGGCGGTAAAATCATTCTTGTAATGATTTGATAGCCAGTGATGTGATAGTGAGTATTCTTCTATTGTTGGGAGACTAGATTCACTTAAAACAGGTTGAAAACTTTCTCAGTTACACATGATAGTGAGTACCAAAACGGACCAGAATGTTGTGTTTACATTATGTGATGGTTTTAGAGTGTTACAATGTTAAACAATCCTAACTTATCTGCTAAATCTGACCATAATTATGATTGATATATTATCACATATACACTAACAGATAGCTGACCAAATTTTTAACCTGCAATTAAGTTTAGTTTTAGCAGATTAAATCCTTCCCACATGTTACAATGTACAACTGTTTAACAGTGGCCATTTGTAATGTACTGCCACGCTATAAAGTATTTGTACAATAACAACAGCAGCATTACAATTGTGAGGTGAATTACTGTCTTGGTCCATTGAATCTATCATGTGTTCCTTTCAAATGATTTAAGTTTTGATAAAGTATGATAGTTGGTGTTTGGTTCTCTATAAAACTGAATTATATATCCCTTTTATTATGAAGCACTATTAGTAGCTAATTTGAATAAAAAGATGATACTGGGTGTAGGATTTCAAAGTTCTGATAATTTTGCACGAGTTGAATTTGCATACACAAAAATATAACTTGGTACACATGAAAATTGCATAATGATTTGTTTATTAGTATCAAATGATATTTACACTGTAGTTGTGACTATTCCTGCACATACCTGTTTTGTGCCTGTGTAAAATGTTCATCTTTATATAAAAATAGAAACGTCTTGGGTATTTTTTCAACATCTTATCTTAATACTTTCGTGTAAACCTGATAAAATAAGCCTCTAGTTTTGAAATGTACCTGCTGATAAAAAGGAAACATGATATAACATATGCATTGTGTTAATTACAACTTAATTCTTAAGCCAAGAAAATTGATTGCAATATGTTACAGGAATATACTACTTAGTAATGTTTGATCTAGGTAGAGTTCATGTCTGTAGTTTACATCTGTAAAGTTTCAATTCTTTCAATTTATTGTTGATGCAATATACTGTATACCCAGAACTATTCTCATTAACGTTTCCAATTTAATGAAAAGTGCATGATCTGCATTCTCATCTCATAGGGGAGGTGTAAAGTTAGTGAAAACGACTGTTGGTTTGATCACAACTACTTCCACATGTTAATATTTCTGAATGAAAATTAAACTTTAAATTTTTTTAATTAAAATTGAGGTAGATCATGCAAATTCTCACAAACTACCAGTACTATTCCTCACTTTTTCTAAAATGTATTTTTCATATAGAAATATCGTGCTTTTTGAGCACAGTAAGATAGTAATCAGGTCAGCCGCTGAAAATTAGTCACTAGAACAAAAGTTATTGTTAATGAGCTAACCCTCTGTGGAACATATGTACTAGTTAATATTGATGCTAGACAATATCTTGTAACAATAACCCAGACATTGTTTTTCCCATTTTGGTGACACTGGACAATATCTTATGATAAATAACCCAGAAATATCTCTCGGTTGTGGGCAACACTTTATCTTATGATAACAATATATTTCCTTCAGTAACAATTAAAAACATTATCTTATGATAAATTAATTGTATCCTTGATATACAGTGTAGTGATTGTTACAGTAAATATTTTCTGGTTTGTATCATTGTCTTAATCAGATTGTTCTTGACATGAGTAAACAGTATTGCCTATGAATGACAATTCTTGCACCAGACACAGCCTTAGTGATGGCAAAGGTGACCAGCCAACCCCGTTTCCACCCAAAGTCATATGGTTTATCGTCAGCTTTATCTGACCTCTGATAGACTAAACAAGGCCAGGTGTTAAGTAAAACTTATTGCCAAATTTACTGACTGTATAAACATGGTAATATTTTTCAGGTTAGTTGTAAGGTAACAATGCTCATCTGCAAATATGAATACTTTATTCTGGATAATTGGCTTGCATTCAACGGAGCTGATTTATCATATATAACATGAAATATTTCAACAAATTGATATTTCCACCAGACAACATAGTTACAGGTCTCCGTGTTCCTTTCATTTTTTGCCCATGATTTAAAAAATGTGCAATTGTACATACCTTTGTTGGTTGAGCATAAAAAGTAAGAATTTTGAGATTGTTCCATCTGAACATATTCTTGTTTGAGATTCCTGTAATAGTTTTACATATCAGTTTATTACTTAAGTTAGAAAACAACTGTAATAAAGGCTGCTGTTGTGTCAACATAGATATATCAAATTTATTTTTGTATGATTATTTATATATCCAGTTTATTAAGCCGCACATTTATCATGTCTTAGTTTTAGAAATTGTAAATAGTATTTAGTTTTTAATTTATGTATACGGGTGCAATATCTACCAAGATTTGTTCCACTTTGTGGTAATTAACCTATCATTTGTGTGGCACATATATGTATATCACATTGATTGCTATCACATATTCAAGTTTTCTTTTGTTTCTGCCCGATGATTAATTTTCAAAAGGTTTCTTGTACTCTCACCAATCAGACAGTGCTTTGTTCGAGAAACATGATTTTATTTTCTTGTCAACTAGTCAGTGCTTGCAACCACTCTAATGTTCTGCTTATTTGATGAGATAAAATGATTTTCCATCACAGCTCCATGTGTTTTTGTATTTACTTACATTGCACCCTTTTTACACCACGTGGTAAGTTTGGGGTGTAGTCAATATAGCATCCAACCAAACCAAACATGGTGAAAGGAATCTTCTTGTATCAATCCTCAATTTTATTTTAGATTCAGAAATAAAATTGCACATAAATTGGCAGAGTCCTTTGGACTAATTAAACATCCGTCCGTAATGAATCTAGGAATGAAGGAGGATCTTAATCAACACTATAACAGATACCGTGGAAGATGACAGCACTTACCCATTAATAAGGGAAAGTCCACCTTTTCATGGGGAAGAGGACATGTGCGCTAAATAGATTGTTTAGTCCTCTGAACTCTCAATGCTATATTCGGTATGATAAGTGTTGGTCGCTGACATACCCACCAGTCAGTGAAGAATGTGATTGACATTTACAGAACAAATAGAAGATAGCATAGACCCAGAACCTTGAATGTTCCAGAATGATAAGCGTTTTCTGCATGTCGACGACCCCGTTAAATCTAGGTCAACCATATATATAACTAGCTATCGATAGAACAATGCAATCACAATTCATACAAAGGAAACATTGAACACAACTAATTTCATATTACACAACGTGTAGTTAATTCAATAAGAAATCGTTCCATCAAATTCATAAGATACAATTGTATATATATCGGATCTGATGATAGTCATCTGATTCATTTATCTAGTACTGATAATAAAATACATTTAAATCAGTCATCCGATTTCTTATATTGTTGTGTATAAATATATTCATATCGAATGTTATTTGGGATAGTTTTGTCTCATTTCTACAAAAATGATCAACACAGTTAATATATTTATTAGAACATTGAAAATTTATTCGCCTGGATTTTTATTACAGGAGATGTTCTCACATTGAGAACTGGAAGAAGGATGTAAAACAGTTATTGAATTTATAACAAAGTTGTCTAGATGGCTACAATACGGAAGAACATCTACTACACTGCTTTACATGTTAACAACCAAATACATTTCTATGTGGTCAACACCCTACATAACAATAAGAATCACCAGGATACAATAAATGAACATTCCTTTCTCACTTGGGTTATTTCCCCTAGCTACTATTATGTCCGTCCTCCCACACTCTGTTGCTAGGGGGCCATTGCCCACTTGTGAAGTCATGCGAACCGAGCGAACCCAGAGTTTCAGCAGTAGGTATCGTCTTTGTTGAAAAATAATTGTGTTTGAATGAAGCAATAAAAGAATTTTAATGATACCGAGATGACTATAAAATCTAAGAAATCAATACATACACATTTGATAACAGAGTCGTTGTCTCAGCAATATCAGTGTATAGCAAGATGGATAATAAAAATTGAAATTCATTGCTTTAATTATTGCCCGTGAGACCCGTCATTATCGCATTATTGCTACATTATTACAAAACAGTTTTAAAATGTTACTGAAAGTCGATGGAATAAAAAGTGAAAAATTAATAAAAAGTGAAAAATTAATAAAAAGTGAAAAATTAATAAAAAAAAAAAAAAAAGAATAATCAGTGTCACTAATTTTTATTTTTTTTTTTAATTTCGTTGAAATTTCAGAGATGGGCGTTAAATGGCAAACGCCATGATATGGAATACAGTATTGGATTGGCAGAAATATTTACAGATTTTATGTAATACACATGATACATGTAGTTGACACCTTGCCAATTAACTTGGTCCCGAACATCTAAAACGATGTTAGAGCTTTAGCATACCTTTACAACACCACATACAGATATGTATAAACATTTCTTTATAAAATGTGTTTATGCCCTCGGATCGAAAGATCTGCGCATGTTGTATTTTATGCTGTCTGTCTGTTGTCAAATTGCCCACAACTACTGCACAGTAAGAGATAGTTCTTTTGTTTGGTGTATATGTTCCTTTTTGACAAGATCTTTCAAGTGGTACCAAATTTTCTGACTACGTGACCTTGACCTCGACCTTTGACCTTCATTTGAAAATTAAAAAAAAGATACCACAATGAAGACAAAGGTGTTTCACAAAGTGTGCATGCGGTATTAATTTCCCACTTCATAATTTGGCTTCAACTGGAGGCATAGTGTTTCATAAACACATCTTTTTTTACTACCATATAACCAGATATTTTACAAATACTTTTATTTATATCATTATGTATCACAGACGTTTTTATTTGATCACATTGTACCTGACCCTTCAGAATTTTTTTCACCCTGACCGAACATTTATATATAGTTACATTCCTGGAGGTACACGTAGCGCACTTAAGGAAAGATAAGTTAACACTAATAAAATGTCAATGAATCACAAGGACATTTAAACAAGCTTCTTTGTTGGAAGTTAAAACTAATGACTCAAATCTCAAGTGACGTCATAATAGTTTATATATTACACATATAATCGATTCTTTGTTACCAACTACCTAAGTTTGTATTAAAGTCACAGTGACTATTACTATAGCGTGTATAATGTTTAACATACATACTTAAATGATACAGGATAGAAAAACAGTTGTGAATTAATTTTAACACCGTTTTATAACATTGTATTTACAATAATATACACGGTACAACCGTATCTAGGTACAAAATATCACAGTTAATTTTCATCACAGTGTATCGCACGATGTCCGTTCCTAGTCACTGTTTCTTCTCCGTCCACATGTGACATTTCAGGACATTTCAAAATACATGTAATCCTGTAAGAAAAACAATAATGACAAAGCAAGCAGGAAAAGTAATAAGGTTTAAAACCTTTAATAATACCAAGTTTAGACACGATAACGTCAGAACATAGACACGATAACGTCAGAACACAGACACGATAACGTCAGAACATAGACACGATAACGTCAGAACATAGACACGATAACGTAGAACATAGACACGATAACGTCAGAACATAGACACGATAACGTCAGAACATAGACACGATGACGTCAGAACAGAGACACGATAACGTCAGAACTTAGACACGATAACATCAGAACATAGACACGATGACGTCAGAACATAGACACGATAACGTAGAACATAGACACGATAACGTCAGAACATTGACACGATAACGTCAGAACATAGACACGATGACGTCAGAACATAGAAACGATAACGTCAGAACATAGACACGATAACGTCAGAACACAGACAAGATAACGTCAGAACATAGACACGATAACGTAGAACATAGACACGATGACGTCAGAACATAGACACGATAACGTCAGAACATAGACACGACAACGTCAGAACATAGACACGATAACGTCAGAACATAGACACGATGACGTCAGAACATAGACACGATAACGTCAGAACATAGACACAACGTCAGAACATAGACACAATAACGTCAGAACATAGATACGATGACGTCAGAACATAGACACGAGACACGATGACGTCAGAACATAGACACGATGACGTCAGAACATAGACAAGACAACGTCAGAACATAGACACGATAACGTCAGAACTTAGACACGATAACGTCAGAACATAGACACGATGACGTCAGAACATAGACACGACAACGTCAGAACATAGACATGATAACGTCAGAACATAGACACGATGACGTCAGAACATAGACACGATAACGACAGAACATAGACACAACGTCAGAACATAGACACAATAACGTCAGAAAATAGATACGATGACGTCAGAACATAGACACGAAACACGATAACGTCAGAACATAGACACGATAACGTCAGAACATAGACACGACAACGTCAGAACATAGACACGACAACGTCAGAACATAGACACGATAACGTCAGAACATAGACACGAGACACGATGACGTCAGCACATAGACACGATGACGTCAGAACATAGACACGAGACACGATGACGTCAGAACATAGACACGATGACGTCAGAACATAGACACGATGACGTCAGAACATAGACACGACGACGTCAGAACATCATCATTAAATAACCTAGGTACCCTAAGTAGAATATTTAAATACGACCGGACAGCTATGAGGGGAGGTTATCTCGTATTCAATAATACAGGTATTTGTAAAGGAACATATATAATTTCAAGAATTTAATTTCAGTATGAACTTAAAAAAATGTTAAAACAGTGATATTACTTACATAGGCGTGCATTCAGTTTTTATTCACTATAATTGTAGTATAAATGTACATACCATGAGAAAGGCCCCTCCGACTATAAGCATTTTCTCTATTGGGTCCATCTTTTCCGGAACTGAAGCAATATTTTATACATTAGTACACTCAATCCAATTTAATTTATCATCAACGTTACGAAATAACAGAAGAAAACGAAACGCACAGGTAACAATGGTTTTATGGGTTTTTATTTTTACTCCGATCAAAGCAAAAGACAATTGAAAGTTAATACTTTTAATACAACTGATTAAGTTGTGCACGTGATAACCACAGATACACGTGAGCATATATTGCAGGTTTATACCACTATACAACTCTACAAACGATATTTAGTGAAATATACATAAATGTACACATTTCGGTGTTTATTATCAAGGCAGGGGCCCTATCGAAAACCCAGTGCTCCGAAATAAAATGATATATATACATGTATGTAATTTTATAAAGGTAAAAGTCACAACGAGTACAGCTGTTAACAATGATTGTACAAAAGACACACAAGAGAATAACACATTTTTATACAAATTTAGAATTAGACACAAACAATGAATTAAACTGCATCATACAAGTGTTTTGTCAGTGATGCTAAGGGCCTAAATTTTTAAGCGTAGGAGGCGATGGAGGAAAAGTGACTGAAGGAGAAGTACAAATTTAGACGGGAGGTGCACTAGCCGCATAGTTCATCAAATTTCGCAATTTTCAATAAATCAGATAATTTTAGAACAACGTCCAGTACATATTATGATAAAAAAAAAAAACAAAAAAAAACAAGAAATCGTGAATATTTAGGGGAAAATTTGAGATGATGACTAAAAAGAAGTTTGACTAAATATAGACCGCTGCGAGCGTGCAGGAAGACTTACAGTGGATATCGAAGTACTCGTGATCCATATTGATGCCATCGTCCCTGTTGCCTTCCCACTTCTTGTTGATGTGGCCGAGAATCTCCTCGCCGGTCTTGTCAATGATCTGTAACAGGGAAACAGTCATCACGTTTGCTTTTAGTCTCTATAAAGCAGATTACTGACGGAATCGAACTAATAACACGGAGTTTCGTGAGATGCAGATTGTTGTGTGTGGATACGTATAATGATCGCTCTGATGGACTCATCGAGAAATATTTCCTGTGTTCGTTATTTTATAGCTTTTCCATATAGCTTCAGTTTTACCTCTTCTTTTACTTTAAATAAAGAGCAACATAAGCTGTGAATGTAAAAGAGTCAGTCGTATCATTTCCAATTCTGCCGAGTATTTTGTCAGTGCGACAGGAAACCGTTACGGATTTATCTAGATATAGGATTCTCATATAATCTTCTATAGAGAAAATTTAGCCGTAGTGCTGCACGAGACGAGTTGACATTCGTTTACACATTTCATTGGCTGGTAATGTGGTGATACACGCCATGATTTGAACGTTCAGAAACATGACCATATCACAGATATACCTCTAGAGTGGACTCGGCGGCACACCGACAGGAACAAGAGGGGCCCAATATCTTTGCCACTAAGGCGCCTTCGCTGTCCAGGATATCAAACTTGCTGCCACATAAACTGTACCTGTATATATCAACAATTATATCATTATAGGTTCGACATGTACAAATTACAACAGAGACCTGGGTTTAAACCAAGTCAAATTTTGATGTAGTCTTTAGTTGCATTTCAATTTTTCCTGGTAATTATATCGGTCTTGTTCCCATTTACCCAGATTTTCTTTCCTTACTTTCAACATTATTGGTCCCATTAATTCAGCTAAAGGGTCCTAAATGGTCAAAGCATTTGTACGACGCAGACTCACTTATTACTAATGTAATCATTACCGTAAGTGTAGTGACATATATAAAGAATATAAGTTAGCGTCTCTATATGATTAATGTTTATATCTACATATTTGACTTCGAGCAACGAGAATCCTTATAGAGGACGATACAGCTCTTTCATTGCTTTTAAGGCACACGTGCTATTTGAACTTTATGTTCTGAATATATTTATATGTTTTCTGTAAAGCGTGATTATACATTTTAATGGAATGTTCAACAAACTCCATTCGCATACATTGCATGTATGTTGTTCAAGACACAAGTTTTTAACACGCACTTGTCAACAAGCGAGCTTGATATTGATACTGATGTTGGCATTCCAACCCTACGATATCTATAATCATTTTAGGAGTTAATGTTAATGTCCTGTCCTCCAGCCCTCTTACTATTCTGTAGACTTACTGTTGTTTTATGGAGCCAAGCGTCCGATTGAGGCAGTCCACGACGTAGACTTTGTTGTTGCAAAACATGCAGTCGAAACAGCAGCAGCAGTCACAGCGACACGACTTCCGGTGTAAAGTAAAGACGAGGTCGTCGTTCGGTGTATAGAAGTCCAGTTTAAACTGACGCTGGGGACCACAACACCATCGACAGCAACAACTCGAAGCTGTGGAGACAGATGATGATAAATCACTAGAGATCTAGGGAAGATAGAAGTCACAACGATAGGGAAAGTGATGTAATGCGGTTGCTAATGGTATTAAGGACTAAGACAAATGCTCATAACATTGGTGAGGACCGAGGTAATAGATATATTGTTAAGGGTGCTGTTACATTGAGTTATAGTGACAAAGAAGAGAAGAACAGTGTAAGAACATGGTTGGAGAGACCCGGAGGAAATACATACCTTCAATAACGTAGAAAAGCTCGTCCTCTGCCTCGTCCCATATCTTGTAGGTATTGGAGGATCCACATCCGCCTGAAAAAGAAGGGCACATGGACAAAGTATCTAGGCCATACACACGCAACAGAATAAAGTCGGATGTTTCTGCGAATGAAAAATGTTTATAAAAACTCCAAATATCGAGATCGCCGGGTCAAGTTCATGTCCTTCATCACAGTCACTGATTCTTACGGTCAAATATCAAAGGTGTTGGTAGAAATCTTCATATAAACCTGGAATGATTCGTCGAAAACCGGTTTATCGTCTCCTTGACTCTCCCTATCTCTAGACGTTGTCTTTCACGGCGGCTGTCGTTACCTGGTGACGTTTCCTTGTCATTCCCTGGGAATATTTAGTCTTATTCTCCATGCACTCCACATAAATATTTCTTTTGTTGATAATTTATACTTGTTTGATAGATTTTAAATTTCGAAATAAAATTTCGTTAACAAGTCAGTGTTGATATAGAACATGGTATTGTATTTGTAATTAAGAACTTGAAGACACTCGTACTGTGTGTATCTGAGGCCGTTATTGTATGTGATTATTGTAATCAGTAAACAAACGTTATTTATAATCCGTCATGTCAAACGGTAACTTTTATTATCGATAATCTTATCCGTCAGACTCTTGTCCAAAACTTGTCTTTACATCTCCATTGGAAATTGATAAATCTTTTTTTGAGATAAATGATAGGTTTCACGCTCACATAGAAAATGAATTTAATTTTTGAAATTCAGTGAACACAATCCCTATTCATTACATTATTGTCCTATTATTTTTCATCTTACTATGGTACTTTTTCGGACTAGATATTACTGTACGTCTCAACAGCTCGTTTGAGGTCCTTTATTCAATAAAAGAATTAATAGTAAAAAAGTGAAAATACCTTTGAGGTCCATGTCCAGCTGTTGCCGAACATACACAAATCCTTTGTCGTTGATCCCTTCTAGTCCGGGAGGAGGGTCAAGCTTAGGATTGACGGATTTTCGGCGGAGTCGTTGTCCTACCTTCTTGGCCCTAATGAGTCTCATCATATCCATCATGGGGTCGCCGCCTCCTGCTCCACCCCCGCCCATCATCGCTCCCATCATGCCCATACCGCCGCCACCCCCGGGGGGCTGGGCAGTACCCGTGCTGGACATGGACACGATGGACTGACGAGGCTGGTTTACTACTACCCCATGCTGCATCTGCCGGTCCATCATGATGCTTGCTCGTCTGTTCTCGTTCTTAATGGCTTCCTGACGTTCGTCGTAATACTCCATGTTAGTACTCACTCTGTCACGGAGATAACTTGCTCTGGACGATTGCCAAAACGATTTCGCCTACTTTTATCTATCTGTGTAGTTTGAAGTTGAATAGAAAAAAAGTTGTTTCAATTATACAGAATGTCGTTTCTCCAACTTGTTTCCGTTGATTTCGTGTTAATATCCTATGTAATGATACTTTATAAATTTGCATAAGCACGATGTATTTCTTGAATAAATTTTGATCCTTTCCTTTTGAAGATTCAAAGACGCGGATTATTCAATTGTGCACCCACTGCATTGATGTTGCACGTATAAGATGGCCTACAGTGGACTGAAGGGTCAGGAACATACTGAGTATCTCCATGGCCACGGTCCGAGCCACACAAATATCTCGTGCGTAGAAATATGTTATTTTTGGTAGGCAAATACTGGTCGTCATAGGGGTGATGAAGGGGACTCCAAAGATTAATTTTCCGTTCGGTTTTAATGTATGTCAATTAGGAAACCTGATTTTAGCGGTATGTTCAGATATATATACTGTGTGGTTAAGTCTATATTGAATATCAAATCACAACGTAAGCAAATTGTTACTATTCAACAACGTCATAAATACTGTGTATTTACGGATCTTTAGAATGTTTTTTTTTTTTAAATATTTTTGTAGTACACGTATATAGATCCGATGGTACAAACCTTCTGTGCCTTAAAATACTGACATAACCTATCAATTTTATACAAAACATCTACAGGTATTCAGTTTCGGAGCCTTTGCGTCTTCGGTTAAGAAATATTCGGCGTCTATTGTTATCTTCACTACTAATGTAGCCATTCAGCACTGACCTTTATAAAGTAAGAATTAATCCCTACAGATATGACCCCTCCAGCCCCTCCTTCCCACGGCGTACTGGAGCGGTGCCGTTGTCAGCAGTAGCTGTCCTGTCAGTACAGAGAATGCCATATCCTCATATAAAATCGGTGCGAGTGAAACCATAACTCTGTCATTATTTAAACAATATATACGAACAACAACTCAAAAGTAAGACACGGCCTAGTATACATGTATATAGGTGTTCAATACAGTTTGGGAGCCACAGCATTTGAATCCTCATTCCTGTTGTTTTGCTATTGTTTTAATGTAGCCTCAAGTCCTGTTGTCGTCTTCATCCGTTGTCATTTTCACTTTTGTTAAACTGCGATCTCTACTCCTGTTGTTGGATTAACTGTTCTAAAATCTGGTTGTCCGTCCGTTCTTTCAATAAAACGTATACTCCGGTTGTCTTTACGTCATTTCAATGTAACGTACATTCCTGTAGTTGTCTTTCTGTTGTTTTGATGAAACCTAAATTCATGTCGTTGGCCTTCCATTCTTGTAATGTAACTTTAATCCTGTAGTTTTTCTCCTTTCTGTGATTTATGTTAATGTTATTTCAATCTACCCTCCATTACTGTTGTTGCTTCTAACCTCCATTCCTGATGTTGTTTTTTATGTTGTTTTGAGTTAACCTCCATTCCTGTTGTTGTTTTGAGTTAACCTCCATTCCTGTTGTTGTTTTGAGTAAACCTCCATTCCTGTTGTTGTTTTTATGTTGTTTTAATCTAACCTTCATTCCTGTTGTGGGTTCTCTGTTGTTTTAATCTAACCTTCATTCCTGTTGTGGGCTCTCTGTTGTTTTAATCTAACCTTCATTCCTGTTGTTGTTTTTATGTTGTTTTAATCTAACCTTCATTCCTGTTGTGGGTTCACTGTTGTTTTAATCTACCCTCCTTTTCTGTCGTTGTGTTCGTGTTGTTTTAATCTACCCTCCTTTCCTGTTGTTGTGTTCGTGTTGTTTTAATCTACCCTCAATTTCTGTGGTTGTGTTCATGTTGTTTTAATCTATCCTCCTTTTCTGTGGTTGTGTTTATGTTGTTTTAACCTCCATTCCTGTAGATGTAATTTAACCTCTGTTACTGTTGTTGTTTTCACACTGTTTAAGTATACATACTATGATAGTTCACCTCGTCAGTTTTTCCTGAAAAACTATATATGATAGGCCTTCTTCAGATATTATACATGTACGTTCCACTTAGTCTCAAGTGGTGCGAGTTCAATGTAAGTGGGAAAAGCGGACTTGCCGAACAAGTGACCATTTTGAAACTTTTAACGGGCACTTTGAATACACGTAGTTGCTTTGTTCGTGAATGTAATTGTTACACTTAAAGTAGTATTATCATAGGGCAAGTGCACATTTCAGCAATACTTCTAGCTGATGATGCAACTTTTGTATCTTCTTCATCAAAAAACTTCAAGTGTCAACTGGATTATGTTTAATCACGTGTTAATATGTGGGAACTTCCTTATAATAGGAAGAAAAATACTGCGGTTATGTTTAACAACGTAACTTATTTACGTCACGGTAAGATTATATTACAGAAAGAAAGAGTAATATATGGGGGAACACTTCTTTTAACCGAATATGATATGCATTTTTGTAGAAGTGTTAGCAAACCGCGCAGCAAAAATGATGAAACGGAAGCAGTTTGATATATGATAAGGTATACTTACACATATATCTGATAATGTTAAATAAAGACATCAGTTACTCGTAATGGGAAAAATTGTAACAAATCCGATTAAACAAGCAAAATGTTTAAACTGCGGAATAGCTATGGAAGATATTGAAAATATATATATTCATGAACTGTGTATTTGTCAGAATGAGTACATACAACAAATTATATAATTGAAGATACATTACCTATTTTAATCAATAGATTTCTGATATACTTGTATTTCTGCTCGGTGGTAATAATTCATTTGCAAGGAAAATGAACAGACAGGTATGGCTGCATAGAATGCTTACTTTCTCCAAATTAATCATGCTTATTCATATGAAATCCAAAGTACATTGAAAACGAATAAGCACATCAACTTAAGTGAAACGTATGTGTTTTGGTGAGTTTGTATAGATAAGAATGTAGTTTTTGTTTGTAAGATTATAAATATATGTTCTATTACTGTATTATACAATGTATTGATTTGTATATGTAAATGTTTTCTGCAGAACAAAATCTCCATATGAGAAGGAAATAAAGATTTATTCATCCTTTCTTTCATTTATTCACTGGGAGAAGAGGGTTCTCTGTGTTAGTAGTTTGGGGTAGTCCTTGCGAGGTTTAGAACAAGGATTACAGAAACAACCCCGTATCGCCCGTCAATCTGCACAAGTAGGGAATGTCGGAGGACCCTAACTGCAGACTATGTAACCAGAGTGGGTCAATGTCGCACATCCTGTCTGGATGCAAGAAGGCACTTCAGCAAGGAAGATACCGATGGAGGCATGACAATGTACTGTGAGAGTTGGCTGATATCCTGGAACGGAAGAGGACAAATCGGCCAGCAGCACAGTCTGCTATTCGGTTTGTCAGACTGGATGAAAGAGGAAAAGAAGGACGAAAAGCAACTCTTCTATCTTGGACAGAGCTCAATCATGGGAGATGAATGTGGATTTGGACAAGACGCTCGTCTTCCTGGATGTCGTGGAGACAATGCAGAGTCCTGATATCGTGATGTTATCACAGCAGTCCAAACTCCTCATCGCAATAGAGCTAACGATACCATGGGAAGAAGGTTGCGAGAAAGCCCGTGAAAGGAAGAAACCCGAGTATGACGAACTGATCGCGAAGTGCATAGAGAGGATAGAATGTGCGGCTATTCCCAGTAGAAGCAGGCCACAGAGTGTTCCCCGCCCAATTCTTATAGAGGATGCTGTAGACACTAGGGTCACAGGAAGAGCTCCAAGTGCGGCCATCATACGTTTTGCAAAAACTGCAGAGAAAGTATCGTGCTGGCTATGGCACCATCGAGACGAGCCATTGTGGAAGTCAAGATCAGACGAGCAGTGGTTTGGCCACCACTGCTGACCCACCAGCTGGAGGATGTTGTGGTTTAGGGTCGAAACACCTGAAGAGGGCTGGATACTACCTGATGACGTCGACAGAGGCTTCACAACATGGGGACATTAACACCAGTGACAGCTATACACAGGGGATGTCACAGATAGCAGAGGAACATCATCTGTAAGTTATCATCATTCATTCATTCAATCATACTATGATGTTCTCCTCGTCACTCATTCCTAAAGAGTATACATGATGGGCCTTTTCCAGAACGTATATATACTCAACAAAAAAGAAACGTACAATGAAATGATGCAATTAATAGTCTATGATATTTTGGGAAATTTGTACAAAATTTATATCAACGTGAAGGGTCAAGTCTTTACAATACTGTAGAAGAAAATTCTGTGTGACGTTATCATGTCGTAAGCAGTTACTCAAAGCAGGATACCTGCGAAAAACCAAATGACACTTCAGTACCTGGTGTGGGCACTTCTTGCACGAATCCCAGAATTCCAGAGGCTGAACGTTGTTTGCGTGAGAAAGTCAAGCCAAACTATGGCAACATGCTGTCAAGGATTGTCTTGCTGGAAAATTCTGTTATAACATCTGAGAAGTGGAAGGACATGCGGTTGGAGGATGTAGTCTCTGTATCGAACGGCATTGAGGTTTGGATCCAAGACCACACCACGTGATTGGACTAAAGAATCTCATAGAATCAGACATCGTCATGCTTGTCTGATTTTAGGGTAGATTGTCGAGAATGGAGATCGTTCTTGGTGTTATATCTGACCAATATTCCATTATTTCCTTACAGCAAGGGGGAACTTTGTGCGTTTTTTGTTTTTGTTTTGGGTTTTTTTTTTCTTTTGTCGGTTCCACTTTATGGACTAGTTCAATTTGAGTGAAGAAAGCGGAATTGCCAAACAAGTGACCATGTTGAATCTTTCGAAGTATGCACTTGATACACCAGAGCTTTTAAACATTTGATAGGTGCACGGACCGCCAGCAGCAAGACGTGCACTTTGAACACATGTAGTTGCTTTGCTCCTAAATGTAACTATAACAGGTTTTTCTTTTTTAAAACACTTCCAATCAGTCTCACAAAATGTCTTGTGTTCGGTACATGTGTGCTA